CATACATACTGCATGTACTGTAGCTTCTTCAGTGAGAATGGCATCAACATACGTCACTTTGTTAAATAATTAAGAATCTGACAATATTATGGCATTCTCTTAGATATTTTCCACCAGGAAGTGTTTAAGACACGGAAAACTTTGTATAACTTTAAGATTCAACTATATGGAAATCGTTGATGCATGGTATGTGAGTGTATAAATTGAACACTGGCTGCTTAACCATGTTTATCTGGCCTTTTTATTTTGATACAATCATTGACTTACAAATGACAAATTCTTACAATGTCAGAAGAAGTAAGACTGTCCTCTGTCACTGATTCCAAAGAGAAAAACTAAATTTAAGCCAACATTTCCTCAGCTCGCTGTTTATAACTCAACAGGTGTTCCTCTACTTTTGAGGAAACATCAAAGTCTGCTTGCTGTGATGAGAAGTTTTTTTTTTTTCTCCTGCAGAACAGGAGCTGCTACTGTCAAACGCCACGGTTAACGCTTATTGTCCCCCAGCGTGTTACACTCGGCTCCTGACCCAGGAGAGAAATGCTTCATTGCCTTTGACACGAGGACTGCAATCATGCACCTGGAGACTGTCTGGCCCGCAATTGGAACTCATTACCTGTGTCAGCCAGACCCTCGGCTACACTTGGTGCCAGTTTGTGTTTTGGAAAAGATTACCTCAATATTTCAAATGGGTTTGAGTTTTTCTGTTGTAATGCTGTTTCTTAACAAGTGTATTTTTCAGCATTGCTTACAAATAACACGGTTTATCTGCAGGACCAATTAATTGATTTTCAGTTTAATCTGTCAAACTAGAGTAGTGATCGAGTCCATTGCGAATTAATGAAAGATTTTGCATTAGGTGTAATCCAAAAAACAGACACAATCTCACATGCACAACTAGTGCTGCTTTTCCATCGAGCAGTAGTGAGAGGATGAGCAGAGTGAATGCCACAGGCTACTTCTTCAACTCATTTGTTTAAGCAGCATTTTTTGTCCCCTGAATGTGTTGCCAGTCTCCTTCTACTTTCATGAAGTAAACAGGATTTTAAAAACCAAAGAAAAACTGATTCTGTGATAAATAACGGACCTTCATGGCCTGGGTAAAGGAATGGAGGCCTTACAGTCCAAACATTTATAGTGCCAAAAAGAAAGACTGTCCAATAAATGATTTTTTTTTTTTTTTTTTTACACTTTTTTTTTTAACACTTTTTTTTTAACACTTGCACTTTTTTAACACTTGCACTTACACAAGTTTACAGGACTGTGCTGCTGCACTAACTATAGAGAAGTAATCACTGCAAAACCACTTTGAAAAACACAACCAATCCTCGTACCAAAGAGGTCAATTGGTTTGGATTATAGCAACACTTGTCAAACATAGTGTCTACATTTGAGTATTTTATTTATGAGGGAAAATATTTGATTTACTCATATTTTATTATAAAATAATATTCCAACTTCTACACCTCTAAAACGTAAATGTTAATATTCTTGTCTATGGAGCGCCTCGTTAGCTTGAACTCTCAAGTGTGTAAATTACATGCAAGATGTCAGGAGTTTAAACAATATAACCTGGTGATGCACAATGAATCCTAATGTTTTCCCTTTTCTATCTATTGATATGTGATCAGTCGTAAACGACACATTGGATGACCAAAGCACGAGTGGGTTAAGTTTTGTTTGTTTACAGGTTGTATGATGTGGGGGGCCAGCGGAGTGAGAGGAGAAAGTGGCTCAGCTGCTTCGACTGTATTCAGGCCGTGTTGTTTGTTGTCGCCCTGAGCAGCTATGATACCACGCTGCTGGAGGACAAATCAGAAGTATGTAATGAAAGAAAGATTCAATTGAGATCACATAAATCAAATGGGAGGATTTTTAATTTGTTCTTTTTGTCTCCTTTCTTCATTTTTTTTCTCTCATTAGAATCGTCTGCAAGAAAGTCTCAAACTTTTTCAATCCATCTGCACCAACGCAGTCTTTACACGTGTATCACTGGTAAGTTTATGAATCATTGTTTTAGATGCTTTTAATTAAAGATGATGATTTAGGTTTCACTTGAGTCTACTTTTCAGCACCTTTCCCTGCATGTCTGCCATTACTGTTTTAAGGCCAATAGTTTATTTTTTATGTTATTATCTGAAGTTATGATGATTGAAGAAACAAAGACCACATACCAGGTTTAATTTGTAAGACTCTTGGGTGTGGATTAGTCTCATGTGAGATCTGAAGGTTATTGTGACAAACGACCCTTTGAAAGCCATCAAGCAGAGTTTTTTTGAACATTTTCATTGTTTACTTTTTCAGTATAATTCTTGAACCATCTCTTTCTCCACCACAGATTCTGCTAATGAACAAAACAGACCTTTTCCGTGAGAAGATCCTGCACTCTGGAAGACACCTGAGATTTTACTTTTCAAGTTACAAAGGTATGGCTAAAGGGAGTCATGTTTGCTCCCTATTGAATCTGTCTGTCGATACGTTTTTTAATTAGGTTTGTTTGACTTGTGGGACACTTTTGGATTCAGTCCAACACTTCATTTCTAGCTCAACGGTAGCGACATAAGAATAGTCAACAAGGAACTTAAGAATATTTTCACTTCTTTCACTCATTCAGTCCTCGAGGAACTGTGTGTGTGCTTCTATGTTTTGCTGGAGGGGTCATTGAATCCTTGCTGTCCGTTGGGTAATCAAAATTCCTTCATTGTATGTATAAATCATGCTTTCTGGTGGGATCATGGCCACGCATCTTTGAGATCCTTCACAGAAACTGGGAAGATACTTGGTGTCATATTTTATTTGTGCACTCTGCACAGATTTCAATGTGAAGCCTGTGTCTTGTTTTATCAATAATGAATGATTAGGACCGACTCAGTGTAGTTTCCATTGTAGTTCGTTCGAATCCTCACATTACTGAACGATGTTCCTAGAATTTAAGTTTTTCTTCCTTCCTCCCCATCCAGGAGCAGATGGAGACATAGATGCTGCAGCCCACCACATCACCGCCATGTTTTCATCAAGTCTCAGCAGCCCTGACAAACCAGTGTACCACCACTTCACCACTGCCACAGACACTGCCAACGTTCAGGTGGTCCTCCACATGGTCATAGAGCAGATCATCAAGGAGAACCTAGAAGCCATAGAGCTGCTGTAAACGTCTCCTTAACACTCTTTAGATTGATTTTAGTTATTCATGTAATCACAGTTCTGTTTGTGTTTCTCAGTTTTAATAAGTAAAAATAATTTATTATAAGCTGCACTTTATCAAATTCCAATTTATCCTATTTTAAATGATTTTAATAAAATATTTATTGAGGATTTTGCCTGGTCATTTGCAATGCTGTTTATTTAAAACACTAATTAATTCCAGTATGTGTCAAATCAACACTCATGTTGAACTAGAAATGCACAAATGTATCGTTGAGATTTTAACATGAACAATAACTTGAACTTGCGCCACTCGGGTGGATTTTTTTTCCAGTTTCTTACTTTTTAGACACTTTTATGCTTCTTAAGCCATAAGTTGTGTTTAAGATTGATGTTGCAGGACTTAAATTGTGTAGAGACAAATAAAATCAGTCACGCATTCAACAAAGAGCTGCGACATGATCTATTTATTGATGAAAACTCAAATATGTACATTGATATAACTTCAACAGTTTATAGTGTTAAGAGGGGTTTATCAGCCAATAAATAGGAATAAACATGTTGATTTTGAACAGAGTATTAAACTTGAATTTGAGCAAAGTTACTTAGTTAATGCACAGTTTTTAAATGGTAATGTCTCCAAGAAGCCGGATTCATCCTCTGCTTTTGTGCTCAGTTTTCTGCACAGTCTGAAGAGTCCAGAGAGAGGAAGACTTCTGCTTTGCACTTAAATGAGCCTTTGACTTCCTGGAGGAGTTCACAGCTCTGTAGGTTTGGTTTGATATCTTTGATACAAACAGGCTGTGGAGAGAGAAACAGACAAATTCAGTTTCATGCACCTACTGTACACTTATCTAGTTATCAAAGACCTTTGTTTCAACGGTCTGTCCCCCATTTCAGGAGGGAAACTGTTTGTTCTTCACCACCTTTAATGATAATTTTTCTTTTCAGATGAAGATATAAAAGCATCTAAACACAAGGTAAACATGGGAAGGATAAACTACAAAAAGGTCTACATTTCTTCAATGTGCAAATTGTAAGCCATACAAAAACTCCTGCACCTACTGCATAGAAATTGGATCTCGAAACACTTTGCTGCTTATTTTAAATGGATGCCTTTAAATTAAATTTATTTTTTATAAGCAGATATTCGAATAGCCTACTCTGATGTATTACAGAGAAAATGGGCCATTCATTTTATTGCTGTTAAATAATAGTCTTTTCTGCTCATTTCTCTACTTCTATTTTTCATGTAACACTTTTTAGATAATGGAGGATAGAATATGCAGCATGTTGCAGTTTGAAAGCTCAGTTTTTTTTCCCTGACTGAAATAATCAATGATCCACGTGAAGACGATATCTGGTTTCTAAAGACTAAGCGTATACCTTGATTGATTTGTATGCTGTATATGTAGACAGGTGATAAGAGTGCCCTTAACTTAAGCCAACAAAAAAATCCTTCATTGTCTAATTTACACCCTCAATGGTTGCAAGTCGCCATCCGTAATGCGTAATGGCAAACCCATTCAACCCATAAAGCGTTGATAAAATCGATAACCACTAACCATCGTCTTCAGCAGGAAACTCTGCGGTGTTAATTCAGAAAACACGCTGTTGCTCGCAGCCTCTCCGCTGTCTGACGGCTCCTCTGTCTGCTCGGCTCTCCTGACATACGGTGACCTCCGGATACCTGACAGCAAGCCGGACGCTCTGCCCACTGAGTAGTAGGTCGGTCCGGCCACCTGCTTGTACCATGCGTCAGCAGGACTGTGAGCGAGCAGCACGGAGATGATCACGATGGGGAACACGAGTTTAGCGGGCACCTCCATGTCGAGCACAGCAGCTTGGTTCCAATTTTGCCTGACTGGTCCTCCTCACTGTCAGCGCGCGCTGCTTGGACCCTCCTTGTCAGTCTACTTATAGGGACCCCGTGATCATCCCCACGCATTTCGTCAGTGTATGTGGGTAATTCTTCATACACACGTCTCAGGGAAATACACTCCTCCAGGTGAGATTACAATCACATTTATGTAACCATCAGTATTTTAGTCAATGTTGAATTTGAATGTATTTGTTTGAAAGGGATGATTATGTTTCCAGTACAGAAAGTGAGAGCTTTTGATACTTTTCAACACGTGTCCCTATTTGGGCCTTTACATCTATTGTAAAGTGGCTTATTCAGATACATAGAACCACATACAATATGTCAGCTCTGATTTTATTTTGACCAGAACTTGACCTTTGAACGTTTGAAAGTAATGTGACCCATGAAAACAATTATACAAAACATTTCAGGTCATTATACCTGAAGGTTTTAATGTTGAGAAACATACAGTAGCCAAGAGGGGCAACAACTGAAAAACAACTGAAAAATAATAACAAGTTTTCTGCATAAATGTCTCCATGATCATGTGTCATTTATTTACTTGCAGCTTGTTTGATATAAATGCAGCTGTTTTTGTCTTTTTGCAGTTCATTTCCTGTATTTGCAGCACTCTCCAGTCGATGCTTTTGTATTTGCACACTTGTATCTGTTTTTATCATTTCTAGATTTGCTTCACTTTTTTCCTAATAAACGTTGTGTCTGCTGTTGCAGGTCGGTTGCCCTTGTCAGCCACCACAGAAAGAAGTGGCTTAAAAAAATAAAAGCTCCTTTCCCTTCTGGAGATTTCTGGAGCTATCCCGATTGAACAAGCTATCATATTACTGCCTACAAGTGTTGTGCTTTAATTTTATTGTTAACATAATAAATATCTTTAACTGTACATCTGTAGAATAGTAGATTCTTTAGATTGCCTTCTTTGAGAATTTTTGTCTTCTAGTTCTGTGTACTGTATGTACATGGAAAGCCATGTAAAACTGCAGTGAAGTTCCTTTTACAAACCAGACACACAAAGCTGTATCTTACTCTGCTTCTGATTCATCTTTAATGTCAGAGAAGAGTTGGAATGCAACAAGAATATGTGAAACTCTTCAGAGACTACATTTAAACCTCTACACCTGTCCTCTACCAACAGTATATAAATGTATAGTATTATGTTAACAACAAAGTGTGATATTTCACTTTGACATGTTTTCAGCTTCAACTAGAAAGAGTCCAAGAAACAAAATCTTTTCACACGATATTCATCAGTTACAGCTCTATACTGTCACTGAGCTCAAACCACAACAAAGCCCCGTCACACGTTGCCTCTCATATGCACAGGACTCGCACGTTCCCTTTACGAGGGCTTGTTTCCTACATGTCACATTCAAACATAAAAACAAGCTGAAGTGGAGCACAGTTGTGGGGAAATGATGCACCAATGTAAGTGACCTATTTCACATTCTTAGAGCTTTCTTTGGGCAAATTAAGACTTTTCTTTTATAATGGGATGCTTGTATGTAGATCGGGTTGTAATGCAGAGAATACCGTCACTCATTCTGTCTATTTGGAGGCGATAACGATCAACATTACCTACAGAACTTGAAACACCATGAAAGTGATCTCAACTTAAGACGTTAGATTGAATTGTTCTAGGCAACATGAACATTGACGGCAGACACTCATGGTTCCTAATGCCACTGTTTCTGACTGGTAAGTACAACACTGTCATGTGATTAAGATTTAAAAGAGGTGATATGACCTTACAACATATTCATGAATCTGTCTCTTTTAGGTGTTATTTGCAACTGGTGGAAAGTGGAATATCAGCAGCAGCATATGTGTGCAGTGGAAGGCTCGTCTGTGGTTATTCCTTGTTCATTTTCCTCTCCTGGGTCACAGAGAGTGAAGAGAGTCATGTGGGGTCAGGAAAAGTCTCAGAGTTTCATTTCTGAAAGTAATTCAAGAAAATTCCAGTACATTGGTGACACACGTAGCAATTGTTCTTTGAAAATACACCAAGTGGAGAGAAATGATGCAGGAAAATACTCCGTCAGAATCATTACGAACAAAGGCAAAGGGATTCGGCCTACAAATGGAATACTCACACTGAAGGTTGTTGGTGAGTATTGCTCCTTTTAAGAAAAACATCATCAGCTCAAACTTTCACCAATAAATGCAAAGAAGAAAACGTAGGTGTTACTTTGTTCTTCTAGCTTTGCATGTTTCTGATTCAAGACGCAACAGGAGCGGAATAACAAAGGAAGGTGACTCAGTGAATTGACCTGCTTTAACCCCTGTGATGGTGGAAACTCTTCTGCTTTCACCTGGTTCAAAAATGGAGAACTTTTACATGAAGTACCCACGCTTTATCTCGGCAACATGTCCAACACAAACTCTGGAAACTACACTTGTTCTCTGAAGACACAACCAGGAAGTACTTCAGAAGCCGTAAACATCGATGTCCAATGTGAGAACATGACACAAGATCAACACTTTACAAAATCAGAAAAAGAGAAAGCTTTGATTTTTGAAATCTACAGAATGTTGTCTCTAATCTTGGTAAATGACCATTTTATGCAAAAGAAATAATCACACATCAATTCTGTTTTGTGATTCAGACGGTCCAAGGAACACATCCGTCTTAATCAAGGAGGTGGAGAATAGCAGCAACTTCACCCTGATCTGCAGCAGCCAGGCAAACCCCCCAGTGAAGTTTTACTCGTGGTTTAAAAAGGATGAGGACAATATGGTTGTTGCACATCGTTCTGTGCTCTTCTGTGGTGAAGGGGGCCAGTTTTTCTGTAACGCCGCCAACAAGCATGGAAGCCAAAACTCCTCTCTTGTGAATGTAAAGAGTAAAGGTACGCATGTTACTCAGAGTTATATTACAGTGAGTGATCTGTCAGTGATGGAAAAGCATGGAAATGTTGATAAAGCGCTAACACACTGCTTTTCATTTCACAGCATGTTTGACAACTTTGACCAGAGACGTGTTTATTATCACTACAGCTGTTGTGCTTCTGATCGTGACCTCTGTCATTGTCATCACAATAAGGTAAGCATGTGTTTGTTCTTTTCAGACATGTGCCCCACGTTACAATTCATCTGACAGCAATGAAACATGTTTGTTTTGTGTCTGGAAAAAGCACCGTGGTCACTGATCCATGAAAATCACAATTGCATTGAAACAAAATAATACATTATAACGAGTCAATGTGAGCAAAGAGTCTCTAAAATGTATTCAAATACAGCAATACATACAAGCTCTCTTAGGGACATCTCAACTGCTGTTCTTTGCTTCTGTATTTATTTTTGATGTTAGCGATGATCATGCAATGATTCTTTTTTATAATTTGTTTCAGACTCAAGAAAAAAAGGGCATGGGAACCAAAGCTGGACTGCAGGGAGGAGGTACAGGTGTCAAAATGAGCCTGTTCTTATATGTTTTAACATATTTTTAACATATTCCATTTATTATTTAATGTACATCCTCAAGTTATTCTCGGGGCTTTCAGTTGCGCAGAGGCGGTATGGAAACTGATTTCAGCAGGTGAAAGGCAGATAAAATCCATTTCCATTTCCTGCATCAAATAAGACAAGAAAGTTTTATGTATGAGTGAAACATAAAACAGTCACAGAGGCTAATAATAAAAGACACATATCACATTTATTTTCACGTATTAATCTGGTGCTTTTTTGTCATTACTGTGTTCAGAACACAGATTATGTCAACTGGCTCCCCTGTGACGATAACCAATCACAAGAAGGGATTCAGCTTGATGAAAGGACAGAACTCATCTACGCAACTGTTGACCTCATCAACAGAGAGTCAAACATGTGAGATGCTTATTCAAACTTTTTATCCATTTCTTTCACCTGTTGCATTGGTTGCATGTGCGCTGATGGACTGTTTCACCAGCAGAGGGCAGCAGATGGACTCCTGTATGGATGACCAAAGTGTGATTTACAGCACTGTGTGCAGGTACGGCTCAAGAAACTCACACATTTAAAAGACAATTATTATCACAAGACAGAAAAGGATACAAAGACGTTGTATTGTCTGTTTCAGGCACCAGCTGTTGAACCCTTCAAACACTGAGGCTTCCTGATTTGACATCAAGAACATGCAGTCAGGAAGTAACAAGTGTCGGGATTTTAACTTTCGAGGGAATTTGTTTCAGCAGGATGCACAGCACATGCATCACAGGGGAGATAGATGTTATAATCCAGACAAAAAATAAAACATGTAAATGTGTTAACATTGAATTTGAAGTTTTCTGTCCCTTAACACTATTAGTTGTAAACAAGCAGCAAACTTTGGTTTCTCAGCTCCTTTATTTATTGGAAAGAAAACTGTACGGGGATACATTTCTTTACTTACTCATTCGTTTTGACAATTTTAAGACTAAGAAGTATGCACATATTATCGTAATTGGGGGCGTGGCTGGGTTGACTGACAGGTAGGCGGGTGGCAGCTGTGTGCCAGGAGGCTTAACCCTGCATTCATGTGATGTCAGAAACATCAGAAAAACTAGCTTTCTAGATAGTTGGAAAATGCTCATGAACGCCTTCTCAAGTCGGTACAACAACTCAGCAACTCTGGAAAGAATTAGGTGCCTGACTTGACGTCATATTTGTCATCACATTGGGGGCAAAGGATGTTTTGTTAATGTTAAGATACTTTTTATTAATTCACATATTTGCTCCACCTCTTTGCTTGTTTCTAGACTGATTGAAAGTTTGGTTGCGATAGCATTTCCAATATTGGCGACTGCATCATTTGGCATCACAACGCCTCAACCAGTAGAAGACGTCACTGGCACTACATCCATGTTTTATACACTTGATGGTTACATCTCAGTGAGATGCTGCAGAAAGTCACTAACCAAAACAGAGTGAAAGTGAATCCCATCAAAAACGATCTCATTATGTACTATCTGACTTTTCTTCAAATCAAAATACAAATCAGCATAAAGTCAGGAGAAATTAAGAAAAACACAGGAAGGAAATCAATGTTTGGAACACAGGATTTAAAGTGTGCAATCATCCCACACTCTTGTTCAGTGTTACATCAGCCTGATGTGTACAGGTGATGCACATCTTGGCTTCCAAATATTGTCTCATGGGAAATTTAGTCAAACAAGCCGGTCAGGGAACAAACGTTTGTATGAAGCATTTCCTCACAGTTCGCACTGCGTGTTGTTGATTTAGTGCGTATGACAAAAAATAAAATGTCTTTAGTGTGCAGTGTACTATTGGGATGATCATCTTATCCCTGATTCAAAATGAAGGAACAACAGAGTCAGACCCCCTGCTGACACGTTTTCACATGATGCCTTTTACTGTCTGATGCTTACCTCAGTGTCTGAGGGTGGGAATCTTGCTCCTGGGTAAATGTGTGTGTGTTTTGGCATGAAATAAACACGCTGTTATGTTGTGCTGCAAATCACTTATATTCCTGTTTTTGTGGTTTTGGTACCGTGACAGTTAATTTGCTTACTGGGGTGTTTAGTTGCTGAGCTTCGTCAGAGTCATCATAAATTATCTTCTCAGCTGTAAACGAATGCCACTGACAATTTCAAAAGTAGAAAAAGCTCTATACTTTTCATATATAAAGGAGATAAAACACAGATGTCTGTGACATACAAACTATTATATCTGATAAATGAGAGCAAATGTATTGAACAGTGAAGCATAAAAACACATTTGTTCAGCTGTTTCTCTGTGTTACAGTATTAGAGGAAAGTCATCAGGGTAGCCCACTACCTTTGAGTATTTACACTTAAAGAACCACATTGTCATGCAGTCTTCATTGCAAAAAAACACGTTATGTTTAAACCCTTAAATGTGGTTAAAAAATGCACCAGAAGTGCAAATATGTTTCTATAAATCCACTGAATATCATTAAAAAGAATTGCACTGACTAATGATTGACAGTTTGATTTAAAAAAACGAAAAAACTAATATTGAAGCAGCAGACACAGCTAAACCTTGCTTCTATATTTCCCATGATGCAACTCAACCTCAGATCAGAAATTCAAGTTCAGCTTTCTGAGATCAAGTTTGAGAATTTCAGTCATTTCAGGATAAATGAAGTGTAAGGGGTGAAAAACACATGTGAGTGAACTTTTCTTTATGACCACTTTTTAAATATTTTATAGAACTTACTGTGCGGACAGCAGGACAGCAGGACTGGACACAAAATGTCTTTTGTTAGCTTCCTATGTTAGCTTCTTGATATTTAAATTAAGCTCTCATTGGCAGGCCAGAGGGCAACATAGTCTTGACCAATCTCCTTGAACTTTTTATCTGAGGTAATAAACAGAGGAAACAACTTGGATTCCCCTCATTTCAATAAAATCCACCCAGACTTTTTTTTTTTTCCTGCAAGTGGTTTAAAAAAAAATGTTTGCATGTTTTTTGCATGTTTTGTTTTTTGCTTGAGACACACATGATTCTTTGATTTTGTGCTGCTTGAATGTAACACGCTCCTGAACAGGCTGTGCAGTCCAGGCTTACATGGTGATAATACTGCTGCACAAAATGACACTGCAGGGACTGGGAAGCCAAAGGGCAGTCTGAAGTTATGCTGAAACACTAAATCTTAAATGTTAAGCAACAATCACTTTTTCTCGTGATTAGCACAGAGTCCACTTGTGAAACACTTTGTTTTGTAGCAGACTTCTGGATGAAATGTTAAGAGCCCCTGCACATTATTAATGCCAAATTTATGGGTTGTGCTGCCCTCTGCTGGCAATGTAGAGTAATTGCATCATAAGATCATTTCCCGTTTAGCCTCTCCCCAATAGATGTGTGTTTAGAGGAAGTTCTTTGCTCCTCAGAAAAAAAACAGGTTTTTGTTTAGTTGTACTTATAGAAGTAATATCACATCTGTAAAGGCCATTATTCAAGAGAATTATTTTTCTGTTATTTCTTATTTACAGATTTAGTAACCTGAAACCTTCCTTTATATGAAAAAAAAATACTTAACCTTTGTTAGGTGGGGGTTATTTCTGTATGAGATGGACCATGATGAAATGGTGAAACAGACTGTGGATCATCTTAGATTTATTCAGCCATGGTCAGACAACACAGAAACACAACACACATGGCTGACAAAGTGCAGACCATCGCTGACCCATGCTGACCAAGATCTCACAATCATTGACAATCATTGGCAAAGTGGCCATCATGGGCAAAATGGCAAAATGGCCAAGTCTTCACACAGTGTGGCTTATATTCTACTAGAAGGTACAGCCCACAAATTCCTTTCCATTTGGGTACATCACTATAAAACAATAAAGATGACATGACACTGATTTGTATACGTATGAGATGAGATGTAGACTCTCTGTCTAGCAAACAGTTGCTGACAACATATAGTTGGCTCCTATCCATTTATAGATCTGCTACTACTTAGGTGCTTCACCCATATAAGGTTACAGCTTCACAGACCCAAAAGTAGAATTACTGTGAGATGGTTGACACAATTTAAAGATATGTCCACAAAATTATCAAGATGAATGAATCCCTGAAAATACCTACTAACAACCTTCCATGCCCATGGTGACTACACTGTGCTAAAACTAATAAATCACAGGAGAGGGTCCTGTGCTAGTATGCTGTGGACATTCTGCTGTAAGAAGGTTCTTTGTTGAATCTCACTTTCTGTTTACCAGGAAAATGACTAGTTTTCAGTTTTCTTGAAAACATGAGGGGGGGGGGGGGGGGAATTCCAGTATACCCTTATCTTTGCTAATTTTGTGCAACTGCCATCTGGGTGTATCCTAAAAGATGCAGTAAAATACAGCTGCCAGCGGCTCCATGGTTAAGATCATTTCTGCAGTAATTAATGGGTGAAGAAGTTGGTAAAATAGACAGAATACAAATTCCACAACTCATAAATCTGAAACAAATTTACTGTTGTATACAATGTAGCCATGACTCACTATTCAAGGCCAGTCAAACTAAGTTATCCTTAGAGGGGAGGACCTTTTTTTTTTTTCTTTGAATTTCATTAAATGTTTTATTAGAGGTGTTTAAATTCTTTACTCATGGAAATGAAAATACACAATAAGACTTGGACAAAGATTGAAAGTTTGAAACTGTCAATCTCATATTCTAATTATTTTTTTAACACCATTGTGTATTATTTCATTTATTTATTTATTTTTTATTAGGGGAGGACCTTTTATGCACCCTAATGCATCTTTTCTTCCCTCTTTTATCACTTAAATGTAATTGGAGAATTACATTTTTTTTGTTTGACCTTCTGGGTCACCATAAATAATAGTGCTTACTGTTCACACATCATAATCACCTTTAGCCTACTCATGCTGTTAACCTTCTACAAACTTCTACTATTATGCATGTTCAGGTGTATAACAGTGGTCATTAGAGGGAGCGCTTGGTTACAGTGCTGAGTGTCTTAATTAGTTACTGTCCGCACCTGTGTAAGCAGCCGTCATCACCCAAAGGCAACATATCGATATGAATCAGTAAGAAACTTAACTTTATTAGTTTACGCCCATTTCTGACAAAACGAAACTTTACAAGACATGCGGAAATGCCAATGAAGCAGGTCTCAGAAGTGACTCTGCACTGGCACATTGCAGGTCCAGAACATATGACTTCTCCGTTTTGCCATTTGGAAAACAGAAGGAAACAGTGACAGTCCGTTCAGGTGAGTACCTGCATGCTAAAACGTGTTTTTGTGTTTCCAAAAGCCTGAGGTGAAAAACGACAGACTCATTTATTAGCTGGAGTAGGTAAGCTAACATACCTCGCTGTCACTTTTTGATAGAAAAAATGTTTAAGTACAATAAAATGACGTGAGAACCTGTCTTTGAACATGCATATTTAATGTTTTTATAGAGTAGTGACCCAGTAAATGCTCAACTAACACACGTAGGTCTGCTGTTAGGAAGCTAGGTAGCTAGCTAGAAGCTGCCACGTTGTTGCAATGACAATACGGCAGCGTGAAAGAGAGCTGTTACTGTTTTTAATATATGAGTCGTACGCAACATTTGTGCTATAATAAAGGAAGGATAATTAAGTTCGCATTCTCATGTTTTCTGGAAACGCAACAGGAAGTTACGTAATATTTACGAGGCAAACATGTGATTGGCTAAATGGCGCAGCCAAAGATCTTTTCATTAAAAGAGGGATCACTCTATACAAGAAAATGCGGTATTCCACTTACACTGAGTAAAAATGAACTCGCTCTCTCTTCTTCTATAAAGAAAATTTCCCCTAAAAGTTTTACCCGCAATATTAAATACCACAAATGTTTGATTCTAATTATTTCCATGATAATGTGTCAAAGATTTAACTGATTGGTGCGCAAGACAAATATCCCTTACAATTTACAACATCGCCATGCCTGTCACCTATAGTTTTCTAAGCATGTTTTCCTGCTTACCATAGTTTTTCATTTACAGATGTACTAATCGTTTTTTTAAAATACATTTTCCTAAGGAAATTATCACAAGAGTCAGGCAACAGTCTGAGAGAACTGTGGCAGTCAAAAAACAAATACAAAATAATTCTACCCTCTTTTCATTGGCTGCAAAGGAGAGAAAATATTAATAAAACTATCTCAGGTCCAAATCCCTCAAACACAGCTTTGATTTCTGCTGAAAACATTCCAGCTAATTGTTTCCTCAGGGTGTAACCAGAGGCCTCAAGACCGAGCAGAGCAGTGATTTAATGTTGAAATGCCTTAAGTGTAAATTCAGAAGGCTATACAAGCCTCTAGTTTTAGTTTTTTTCAAGGGATTTTAATTTTATATATTTAGGGCGCAGTGAGCCCTCATGTTTTATTTTCTAGTCTTTGACCTAACTGTGGATTGATGATTGTTGATTTGATGGTTCGCGGGACTGAAGGTGGGCGTGCATGTCACTCTCACTTTTGCAGGGTAATTTCCTTTTCAGCCCCTAAAGGAAACGTGTATTTGTCATTTTGTTGGGTAACACCGCTCAAAGTCCAAATGAAGGACCAACTTTCCTCTGGGCGGTTGTTGTGCAGAGCTGAGCAGTTGAATGAGGCCTCATCGGGCAGAATTGAAAGTGAAAGGAATCTGCAGCAGGGTGGGACCTATTGGTACTTTTTTACTGATACTTTGGTTTCATTTACAGAGATCAGTGAAGTATGAATATGAAGTGCCCAGGTTGTGGTCATATCATATTAGAGGAGACAGCCAAGTTCTGCAGTGAGTGTGGTCGAAAGCTGTCTGGCCCACCAGCAAACAAACAAGGTAAGTCAAATCATTTACAAACCAACTGGGTTAAAACATGGGCTTAATAATACAACGAGATGAATTAACATTCAGAAAGAAAATGCATTTCAAGTTGATATGAGTCAGGCTGTCCTTTACTATTTGTTAATACTCTGACACTGTTTTTGGTTTTAATCTACAAACTGAAATAACACAGATCATTGTGGCTTTGTCTTTGAATAATACATGTAAAACTTGTGTGGAAAGGGAGCAGAAATAACACATTCAAATAGTCATGTCAGCTGTACATGTATACCACATTTTGTCCCCAAACAAATATTCAGATTGAGATGTAAACAAGTTTATTTAGCATGCGTCAGAACGTTTATATAGTAAAGTAGATACAACAAGTTAACAGAAAACATCTGTGGCAGAGGAGCACGTTGTGATGTCTTCCTTAACGTCCTCGCAATCACGCCCATCTATCGTGTGGAGTTTAATACATAAAGAATACTTTAACCTAAGAATATTACAAGAGGGGCTGAAGTACAGGTTTTATAATAAAGAACAAGTGACATTAAGAACGGGTTGACTGGGCCTTACTGGTAAGTCTAAGAAATACTAAAAAGTGAATAGAGCGAAAGATTCTATGGTAAAATTCAGGAATATAAAAATGTTATTAAAGATATCTCTCCTGTATTTTTCCAGACTAGGACTTATAGAGAACATGGAGAAAATGGAAGCCTCACCTCTTGTGTCCTTCTTGTGTAATCCAGATACAGGTGATCAGCCCAGATCCTTGATAGCAGACTCTGATGTTACAGCTGAGAAATCCGCCCCACAGGAAACAACCTCACCTGTGGAAAGCAAAGAACAAAATAAATCCCCCAAACGACCAAGTGATGAGACCCCCAGCAACGTAAAGAAAAAGGTGAGGGTTATGCAGTCATGTTCTCTGATGTGTGGACGTGGACTCGACCGCATGTCCTTTTGATTTTCTTACTTTTTAATTTTTGAGTCTGTCTGGCACGCTTCATAATTACGTAAAGATATGCATTGTGTTGTATTACGACGTTATGTAACGAGACGTTATGTTACCGACGAGAGGTAACCGTGCTCAGGCCCGGTTAGTCCTGGAGTGCAGGGGAATGGGAAGTGGGGGGAATCTTGCTTCAGCACCTTACGGGACAACTTTGCCTAGTGTAGGTGCGCCCTTAATGTGCTCCCTCCGGGTCTACTATAACTTCAAGGTGGTTGACCTTTCAGTTCCCGAACATATAAGAGATGTTTGATTTTTTGGGTGACTTTAAAATACCTCATTTATGTTTTTCTTTGTTATTCATACACAGTACTTTCCCTCTTCTTATACATTTTTATAAAGGTGTTATAAAGGTTAAGCATATTGTGATGTCTTATCATTTGGAATAGCTTTCACAAGAAGTAGTTTAGATTTTCATTTAAGATGTCAATCTGTCACTAATACTAAAAACATGTTGGATTTTATTTTTGATTAAAAACTTTTGCACGGTTTTACATTAACAGTAAAGTGGTTTGTTACATTGATTACCTTCCTTCTGATTTTTATAGAAAAAAAAGAGGAAGAAAAACAAAAAAAAGAAAGATGGCCAAGATCAAAGCCACTCTGACATGTCCCATGTCTCTGTGGGAGAAAACCAGCGAGGGAAGACGAAGGGCGAAGGAGATTCATCAGAAAGCGAGAGCTCAGACAATGCAATGGATGAAACACCAGACCCACTCCAGGATGGGGCCCCCTCACAAGGGAGTCCGTCCAGCTCCTTGACTCCTAAAGCTCCTGCTGCCCCTCCTGAAGACAAACCAGCCAGTCAGAGTGAAATGTCTGAAGACAAACCAGTCAGTCAGAGGAAAACGTCTGCTGACAAAGAAGCTAAAGACAAACCAGCCAGTCAGAGTGAAATGTCTGAAGACAAACCAGTCAGTCAGAGGAAAATGTCTGCTGACAAAGAAGCTAAAGACAAACCAGTCAGTGAGAGTGAAACGTCCGCTGACAAAAAAGATGCAGCAGCAGCAACGCAGTCTGAGGACGCAAAATCAGCTCAGGATCAGACTCTCAGCACAGACACTCCAACCCAACGACCTCCCTTAAGGGATGGCAAGGCCGCGACCTCTCAACCAGGTGCAGGCAAAGGAACAAAGACCGCCAACTCGAAAGAGCAAAAGACTGACGGAAAAAACTCTAAGAACAAGAAAGACACTGCAGCCACTAAACCCACGCTGGACCAGAATGCCAACGCAAAGACGAGCCCAAAACCGAGCGAACAAAGCAAACAGAAGGGAAATAGTCTGCAGGAGCAGAAGAAACAGAAGCCGGCTGCAGCCGCTACACAAAAGATGGTTTTTGGCCCTCAGACTCCATCAAAGGTAATGCTGAGTGAAATGACTGTGAAGGAATCTTTATTGATTAACTAAAGCTTTAGTGGAAATATCACAAATTCATTTTCATTACTTTAAGTAGTATTTGTAACACAAATATTTCATGATACTTTAACAGTCTGACAGTGCGGGCTCAAGTGTGGACCCAGAGGACACAGACAAAGTTGTTCAGCAGACTGGGAGCAGGAAGACCTTGGCACAATCCTCAGATGCAGCCCAAGAAAGCAAAGATGGCAGTAAGGATAGCACAGAATCCAGCACTCGAGCTGAGCCGCCGCCCAAAAGGTGATGATGTTCTCCCACATTTGCTTCAGACCAATCTTTCAGTCTAAGTCTCTGTGTTGTGTTTGCTCTCTGAGTATTTATGGATCTATGTTTTGATTTTAGGATAACCAGGAGCAATACCATTGCTGCATCCGACAGGCTCACCATCTACTTCCACGCAGTTCTCTCCAAGGATTTCAAATTTGATCCGGATGAAGATCGTGTCTTTATCCGAGCTGGGTGCGGCATTGGGACATGGAATGAAAATGCAGTTGAGCTGTTTGTAGCCAGGTACTTATTTTGTCATTAATAGAGAACAAACCAAATGACGTATTTTTGTAGGCCAACCCAGAAGTAGCATCGCCATGGGGTCTATTGAGAATTCGCCTATGGGATTTTTGTATTGGATTTTGGTAATAAGCTCTGTGGCAGAGACGTGTTTCTGATGCGTAGGCGTTTTGTTCAGCAGGATAATCTCCACAAATGAAAACCATTTTTATGATGTTGTCAACAAGACAAGGCGATTTAGTCTGCCATATTTACCATATTTACACAGCAGAAATCATGCTCATGGTGGGACGCTCAAATGCTGTTATGATGTTGAAACACTTAATTCTAAGTAAGTTCTACAGATTCAGAATTATTAAGGCTCAGTCAGATAGTAAGCTACTGTTAAACAACAGCTAAGTCAGCTTCTGAAACAGTGACAGGAGTAGATCTATATAAAAAGGATTGGTGTTTGTACATCTCTGTGTGTGTGTGTGTTTCTTGGTAGAGGCAGACCGGTGGAGGAGAGACAGAAGGCAGACTTGTGTTAAATTGTCCTGGATGGTGTTGATCTTTCGAACTGACAAAATAATAAAAATCAAACACCCATGAAATGTTTTGCTTGTGTCTTCATCAAGTTTATGCTGGTGTGGACAGTAGTTTGATCAGTGACGTATGACGTCAGAGTGCATTTACACGGTCTCAAATTTTTTGATGCATTATTTTTTTCTGTGCTCATTTTTCTAAATTAAAGTGTCATGTTTTTTACAGCCCTAATTTGAACTTCCAATGGGGCCGTATGTCTTTCAATCAATTTTCTCCCAGCTGTCACCACTTGACAAGCAGTAAAACAATGTGACTACCTCTGTCTATCTGTTAATTCTCACAGCGTGGAACACAGCAGTAAGACATTGTATCAGAATTTGAGCTCCACACTCTGAGCATGATGTCAGAGAAAAGTGTTCGCTGTGTAAATGGAAACTCTTAAGTGGTCTGTAGGCCCTGTAGTTTTATTCTCTACTTCAGGAATTCAGAGAGTTGTCACTGTTTTAGCACACTGTACATATGATTGTTCTTTTCCTTTTAACACAGGGACCTTGGAGAACATGGGTTTCTGGTCCAAGGCAGTCTGACAACAAAAAAAAAGGACGTAGAGTCTGAGTCCATACCGTACAAATATGTTGTCTACAAACATAAAAAGGTCAAATATGAATATGAGTTCATATACAAACTGGATTCTACACAGCAAACTGTCAACAGATGCTTGTTTGTGAAACCCCACATACTCACTGAGAAAGGTAATCAAAGCCTTCACTTTACATCTAATTGGTAACAGCATGTGAATGTTTTATTATGATGATAATAATAATGAAATCTCTCCTTTTGTGTTGTAGGAGACTGGCATCAATATGACGACATTGTCTGCGTCGAGCCTCCAACAAACGTGCTCAAACGTTTAAAAGAGACCATTAAAGATACTCTCTGGCCTGATCAAAAGAGAGATCTGATTAAGGGAAGGACTATTGCTGGGTATGTAATGCTAGAGACCATATTTGATCTTCTCAGGAGCTGGGATGTGGCCAATCTGAAAGGTTTCCTGGTCCAGCTGAATCAGTTCTTTCATGTGTATGGGGAGCCTTTTGTGTACGAAGACAGACAAAAGAAATGGAACTCCTTAGGCTATGGAAAAGATGATGTAAGTCTGTAACTTAAATTTTCTTCTCATAGTAGCAGTACACAATGTCTGTAGACATCCAGGTATTGATCTTAATTTACCTTAATCTCTCAGGTGAAGAGAATGCTGAAGGACTTCATGCTGGAAAACGTGATTCCTCAGGCGTCCAAGGATGGAGATAAGAAGATGCTCTATATTCAGAATCACATGAGGGCAGCTGTGATCATGCTCTGTGTGTGTAAACAATATTTTATCGGACTGACTTTGGCTGAGCTTAATCCGCTCTGCACTGCACTTTGCCTGCCCAAACTGAACAAAGACGATTTCCTGCAGTATTGGTCAGATTTCTCTCAGGATGTCCCCATTCTCAAAAAGTCAGTATCAAGTTTATAATCACTTATACATAAATATCAATAAATAATGTCAGTCATGTCCAGCTTACTGAAGATGATACTCCACTGCTTACATTTCTTCTAAAACATGTTTCTTCTTGGCTGCTAATAAAATGTCTTTGTTTTAGTCTGACAGAACACTTGGTGTCACTGATAAGTGCTGTAAGAACAGCAGGAATGCCTCGATGGATTCTGGTCCTACCGCTCCTCCACCTCCTCAGAGGCAACACAAAGCCCTTTGAGGTACCAACTTCTGGAAACATGAAGTATGGCTTACACTGGGCAGGCTTACAAGGCCTTGACATGGGTACCTCAACCTACATGGGCAGTCAAGACAGGAAGTAAGATTCCCTTACCTTCACAGCTCAAACAAAACCCTGCAGGAGACAGGTGGATGCTGTACATTTAAACTTTATGTCCTTTTTTCAGGGCGCTGATTAATTTGATGAAGAGCCACAGTCACCTGATGGAGGTGGATGTACTTTTAGTGCGATCCTGTCTGTACTTGATGCCTTTTGATGGCCTGGAGGAATGTCTCACACACATTAACACTGAGCTTCTGGATGTGCTTCACATCTTCACCAACAAATCTCCTCAGGAGATTTCTTACAGTAACTTCCAGGTAAAATGGAAACACTAGTTTGAAACAATAACATGTCACATTAAAAGTCATGCAATTAAAATATATCAATATTTTGTATTTCCTTTTTCACAGACAGTATCGGACATTCTCTCACATATACAAGAACACCTCATTCAAGAAAAATACAGGTGATGCTCTCCCTAATATTAGCTGATTTAACAGAAGAGGCATGTCATCATAGATGCTGACATCTGTTTGTTGATTAAGTTCTTATTTTAACAATCAAGATTTATTTCATGGAAATAACATTTTTCTGACGTGATGTCTAAGTCTATTTTCTTTCTTTTGCATAGTTGTTTTACTGTGGCCTATAGGAGAATGTGCCTTGAAATAGCGGTGAAACTGTTGGAGAAGCTCTGCAGAGGAGTCAGATTGACAAACTACATCCAGAGTTGGAATAATATTCCAGTGGCTTGTATGCACCTGGTTGCATCAGTGTCAGACTTTGTTCACTCTAATATTCAACAGGTATGTGACATGAACCAGTAAAGCTAAGCTTTGAGCTTGTCAGACTGGATTAATTAATTCTGATAAAATAAATATTTAAAAAAAATCCAATTTAGGAGACAGAAGACGCGCAGAAAGAGCAGAAATATGCAAAGGACTTGGTGATCTCTCAGGCCATGGAGACTTTGAGAAACTGGATGAATTTGTCCTTCAGGTACCCTTTGCTCAACAGGGGCATGACATCCCTGTACCAGATTGAGGCCACGGTGGAGATTGAAGTGAGCATTTAAGTCTTACATTTCCTAAATAAACCACAAAAAATACAAACCAGTGGTCACAATTCAGCATTGTTGATCTGTTATAGATATGGAACAACATCATCTCCATCAGCTTCAAAGATGAGGAGTGCACAAGAGAATGGAGACACACATTCACAAAGGATTTCGAGGGCAAGTACAAAAAGGTATGTGATGTATCTCGTTCAAGTCCCTGTTTGTGTGTAAAATATAAAACATATTTAACACATTTTATGTATTTAGGAAAATGCTGTGGATCAAATTGAATTCTACTGCACTAAGATAGAGCAGCTCAATAAATCCCATCCACTTACTGCTGCCAGCGTCGAGAAGTGTGCTCTGGAGGCTGTGACGTCTTTGTGCCAGGTTTGAATGACTTCTAAAAACCTTAATGGCATAGTTCATAAACGAGAAAGAACAAACCTTTTTTGATCTCATGTTAATGTCCTCTGTAAACCCACATACAGACCAAGTCGGAGGGGAGACTGTTGGAGAGACTCCAGATAAACTGGAAGTTTGGGAAACTCATCTCCACAATTATTGAGAAATCGTGGCCAAAGGACCGTCAAGGAAATTATCGGGAAGATGAAGAAGTGGTCCTTCAGCACCTCCTCTCCTGGACGGCTGCCAAAAACATTTTCCAACTATACGGTATTTTCACAATACAAAATAAACATAAACATGTAGTATCAAACAGAGAATTTCAAGTGTATAGAAGTTAATTAAAAAAATACTCAATGACATCCTACCATCTAATTTAAAAGATTAAGAACCCTCTGACAGTGAAAAAGCCGGCCTTAGCCCGGATAAAGGAGGCAGCAATAAAACAGTTTGATCATTGATGTGATTTTAAGCCTAAAATGTCATATTTTGTCTTTGTAGGTGCAGATAAAGACCTGATTGATAAGCTCTCTGAAGATGCCAGGGGCAAAATTGCTATTGCGATGTCATCATTCATAGCCATGAACAATAAACTGGTCAATGGAGACGTTAAGATCGGCCTGCTCAATATCATTCTTGAGAAGAGCAAGGCCTTCTTGGAGCTGTTGAAGATCGGTAATAGCAGTTTCATTGTCTTCAAACATAGCTTGAGAAATGTGTTATATTTTTAGGGGATAATTGCTCTAAGAAAATGATTTCCTTAAGTGAATGTTGTGTGTGGGATTTTGTTATTAACAGACTGCCTGTTGGAGAAAGAACAATACAAGGATCATGCCAAAATGAGGAGGCTTTTGCAGTGCAGACAGGACGAAGTGAATGCCGTGTACCATGAGAAGGAGCTTCTGGACACCCTCCTAACAATGAGCCACAAACTGGAGGAACACATGACAAGTACGGTTGTACTGCCAGGATAATTCATATTAGTCAGTTTAGTTTCAGTTGCAGCAAATTTAACAGAGTCACATTTTTCTCCCACCATAGCTGATGTTGCCGACATGGAAAATAAGCAGAAGGTCAACATTGAGATCATGCCCCTGAGCCATTTCATGGAGGTCCATCAACTTGACCAAATGCCCTCTCCAGTGGCCGGTGTCGTCACCTACTTCAGTCTGGATGAAGACATCAGAGACATGGCCGAGGTCCTGCACACCTTCCAAGAAAGTTATATATTCAAAGTGTGCTGGGAGAAACAAGCCACGCTCCGTGCTTCTGAGGAGATGGAAGACGACAATCCTGCTGAACGTGAAGCTGCTGAACGTGGACATTATGGCAACACCAGAAATGATACATGATGAGATTTTCAGGCCGTGCTATGCTGATTACACAGACATCTACACTTGTCTGAAGAATGGCAGTATAAGGCTTGGGGAGGTGAACCAGCTCTTCAGTGCTTACAAGGGCAACTACGAGGAGCTTGCAAAGGACCTGGACATCATGTGCAGAGTCGATAAATCCACGGACAAACAGTGGATCCACAGCAGGGTTCAACAGATTGAGCAGTATCACGAGCTTCATCTAGCTGTGGTTTCTGCTGAAATTATCATGAAGGTTAAAGAGACGCTTCATCTTCAAGGAAACTTCAGGGTTCTGGAAACACTCACTGAAGCTGTAAGTGACCATGTTTTCTAGTAGTAGTTGTTCCTGGATGTAAATGTAGAAAAGTGAAGTGATTGGATTGAGTCAACAGCAGAACCTCAAGTGTCTTTTGGCTCTTTCTTTCCTCAGAGTCGTGCAGACTTTCAGAACGAGCAGCTCAATCGCATTGACAATGACTTGATGCAGGCAAAGAAAGCTCTGGTGGACATCACTGAGCCTCGCAGACTGTGCCTGCAGGAGCTGGGGCTCAGAGGACACTTTGTGAATTGGGTGAAAGATGCACTTGAAGGTAGGTGTTGAATCAGAATTGAGGAAACTTGTTATTCATACAAAATGAGAATTATTTATGGTTCTACTACTTTATTAGAAATTTTATTCTGTCAAACTGCTGGTCATCTGTGTTTAATGACACTGATCATGTGTCTTCTTTTCTTTTCTTTTTTACGGTAGAAAGACCGGAGTCTGCAGTGAATTTCTTGATAATCTAGCATTAGCGTTAAAAAATCTGTGATATATCAGATATTGGCTTAGCCCAAATAACGGCTTTCTTTAGCCTGTCATTTCCTTTAAACCTGAATCTTTTCTCTAAACCTGGTCAGAGACTTGATCTGGTAAGAGAAAATTCTAAAATATTGTCAATTTGTGTCTCGAGTGAGCAGGGAGTAAACCTGAAACTAACCTTGTTTTATCTTCAGTAGTTATTGTTAGCAGCAGTTTGAGCAACAAATCATTTAAAGCTCATTCTGCCTTTCATCCTGAAAAATGTTTTTCTGTTCAGATATCAATGAGTTGAAGGTCTTTGTTGACTTGGCCTCCATCTCTGCGGGAGAGAATGACATGGACGTGGACCGTGTTGCTTGCTTTCATGATGCTATCCTTGGCTACTCTTCAATGCTGTACGAGCTCAAACCAGACTCTGATTTCCAAGTCTTCAAAGAGGTGCTCCATAAGCTCTGGAGAGCTTTGGAGAATGACTGCAACCTACCAAAAAAACTAGTAAGAGGACCCTTTTGTACTTTACTACTAAAGTAATTCTTAGTGTAAAAACCATCACAACTTAACATGTGTTGAATTTGTTGATGCTATTATGATTCCACAGTCAGTTGGGGATGCTGACTTGTTAAAAAATAAGTTAAATTGTAAAGGAACTATGTGCAATAATAAATAAATCATGTTGCCGTTCGATGCATTGTACCAGAGCTAACTTAATGCTAATTCACAGCTGCAGTCTCTCTGCATGTTGGATTGACACCGAATCACCAGGGTGCTGACAATATGGGGTTCTCTCCATTAGCAAGGCTAAACTAGAGAAGACTTGAAACAAGGGATGGCTCATTTTAAATATTTGAAGAGCAATAGCATGAACATCTTAAAATGTAACAAACTTGGTTTAAAATGACCACAAACCACTAAATGAAAGGTTGGTAGAATTGGAAGGTTGTGTGATGCCAAACAGCGTAAGACAGGGTTACCTAATGTGGTACAGTACAGCCTTTCTCTGCTGCCTTCCACTTTCATTGACAATGTATTGTACTGTGAGCAGCCAGGCCAGCCAGGTGCTCTGGGATTTAATAAGTGAATATAAGCAGGATGTAAACTTTACATCTCTCTGATCAGTCGTTTTCTAAAATAAAAGATGAGGCAGCCTTTAAAAAAAGGTTTCACAGCTAAAACACAAGACTCATATTAGCTCATGTTGGAGTGTACTGCTCAACAAATAAACCAAGGGAAATTAACAGTTAGGAGTTAGGGGTTAGTTACCCCTAATGTTATATTTAATAACATTATTAACAATGCTATCTTTTTTATAGCGGGACAGTGCTCGTCATTTGGAATGGCTGAAGACTGTTAAGGACAGCCACGGGTCAGTGGAGCTGTCATCTTTATCCCTAGCATCAACCATCAACACCAAGGGAATCTACCTGATAAGTGCACAAAATGTAAAAAAGGTAAATAACAACACCAAAAGGGACCATGTTCCTAGTCTTGCTACAAAAGACACAATTATGCATGATTGTATTTCTGTTCCTACATCCAGTTGAGTCTTGACACGGCCCTGAAGCTGCAGATTATAGAGGAGCACGACGAGGGTCAGCAGACGCGCTGCTATTCTCTAGAGGACCTTCGAGAGCTGCAGAACAAACTCATGCTCATGTCTGGAAAAGGGGACCAAGGGCAGAATGAAGTGGATCACTTTGCAGAGGTCTCTTGTAATTTTACTTTTTATTTAACTAACAAATGTCATTCTGTTTTGTCTCGAAGTTGAAATACTGCTGCTACTAATATGAATTATTCTACTACTTGATTTTGTGATTCAGATGCATATACGGTTATGTTGAATGTTACCTTGTATTTGTTTTTCAGGTTTTTGCAAGTGTTCAAAGGCTAGCTGAGGCATTCATCGCCCTCTACACTGCTGGAATCCTCTGTTCAGACACTGGGAAGCACAAATCAACTGCTCTCTTTGCAACACTCAACCCAGTATTAAGATGGACTTCAACCTTGGCAGTGTTGTCAGTGTTGTAACTGTGGAGGGCAGCATCGAGGAGGAGCTTCCTGAATTTTGCAGGAAAATGGAGAAATGCCTGGAATATTGGAGGGACTTTGTGGACAAACAGAGATCCAAGCATTACTATCTGAACTATTACACAGCTGAGCAGATTGTTTGCCTCTGCAGCAAGCTGAGTCAACGAAATGTAAACAATGTTGAGGACCAGGTTCTCATGATGCTCTCCTTTGTCAAGCCAAATTGCACAGCCTCAGACTTGAGGGAGGTCTGGCATGCACTCCAGTATACAATACTCACCAAACCAGAAGAGCAAAATGAAGACATTGAGTTCCAGACTTTTGTTGTGGTGCCACAACCCGAGTTGGTAGGTCCAGACTTCACCGGCAAATTTGATCTTTTGCCAAGTCTTGTAGAACAAGCAAATGGTTCCCAAAAGTTTGATCTCATATGGAATGGATACATGAAAGACATGAAGAACTTTCTCCCACAAATCCTTGACATCAATAATCTGGGGAGACTGTTGGAAATATTAGCCAACAAAGTCGATGAAAGTGAAGAAGAAAACCGAAAAGAAGACATTTCAGATTTTTACACTGCAGGTCTTATAATGAGGCAGCTACCTAAAGGTCTAACCACAGGGAATCCAAACCTCATTGTTTGTCCACATGATGATGTCTTGACGTCTTGTATCTCCATCTACATGAGCAGTAAAGCTGAAGCACTTCCAACCTACGACGAGGTCCTCCTGTGTGACTCCTCAACACCTTATGAACAGGTGGAGCTCTTCCTCAGACGCTGTCTCAACACAGGCTACAGGGGACAGAAGATATACACTCTACTGTATGGAGATCTCCTCACTTATGATGTGAGCTCGAAAGTTGAGAACTTTTTTCAGCGTACGAAAATGCAGAGCCTAAGGGACTACAGGCTTGTTATAATCTGCAGCTCAGAAAGAGAACATGCCTACCTTCCTTCTGCCTTCAGCCAGTACAGATTGCACATGGTTCCCCAGGAACCACTGGCCAGAATCCAGAGGTACCTCCATGATCACTTTGTCGTCCCAGCAGATCAGTGCAGTGCTGCAGCTACTTTCAAAGACAGACTGCGTGTTGGTGTTGTCTCATCCAAAAGGGCTGGTGTTGGTGTGTAGATTTTACCATTACTCTGCAATTTCACAATGATGAATTAATTATATCCTCACCTGAGATATTGACCTTTTTTTAAATCACAGGTAAATCTCTCTACATCAAGAAGTTGTATGAAAAGCTGAACCACTCAACAAAAAAATCGTCCATGATGAAATGCATTCGCTTGATTGAACCTTGTGTTGACGAGAATGTCATCCTTCAGTCTCTGTTGAACACCTCCAAGAGGAAGGAACTCATCGTGTTTCATTTCGATGTCACATCATCGGTAATAATAAGTCTGAAGTTATTGCTATGCTGTGTGTGCATGTATATTAGTCTTTTTAACTGCTATGATAAAATGTGGTTAACACGTTGATTGGCTGTCTGTTATGTTGTAAAAAAGGTGCAGAAAGGTCTCCATGAGTTTCTTTTCAAGTTGCTGATTCTGCGCTATTTGATGGACTCTGAGGGAAAGATGTGGAAGTGCAGTGACAAGCAGCTGTATCTCATAGAGATCTTAGAGCGAAACGGAAATGTGTCACAACAGGTATGAGTTTCGCAAGTTTGTCTATTTCAGTCATTTGTCTTCTGATTTTAAACTGCTGTGTGTTCATCTGTTTTCTGCATAGGCTCAAACTACAAACAGCACGTTCACAGATGTGTTTCCAAATATTTTCTGCCGACCACCCAAAGAGGTTCTAATGCTGGAGGTGAAAGGGCGAGAAGAACCCACCATTCCAACCATGGATGACCCACTGATGGATGATGACGAATTCCGTAGCGCAGCCTTTCAGCGGCCATATCAGTATCTCACAAGGTTTCATAACCACAGTGATCTTGATGTGTTCACATATCAGGGTGTTGAAGGGTCACATGTGGAGTGTCTCCAGATGCTTCTCATGTTCTGTGGAATGATGGATCCATCCTGGGCAGAATTGAGAAATTTTGCATGGTTCCTTAATCTTCAGCTGCAAGATTGTGAGACATCTGTTTTTTGTGATGCCACTTTCACTGGAGACACACTAAGTGGATTCAAGACCTTTGTGGTGGACTTTATGATTCTGATGGCAAAGGACTTTGCCACTCCATCACTCAGCATCTCTGACCAGAGCCCTGGCAGGCTGCAGACGGATGACCTAAATGGTGTTCGAGATGAAGACTTGGCTCCTTTTCTGATCAGAAAAAGATGGGAAACAGAACCACACCCATACATCTTTTTTAATGATGACCACGTGTCCATGACCTTCATTGGTTTCCATCTTCGGCCCAATGAACAGAACTTTGTTGATGCAATTGAACCCACTTCTGGACAAGTGATAAAAAAGAATGTCATGACAAGGGCATTGTATGAAGGCTTACAGCTGCAAAGGGTCCCGTTCAACATCAACTTCGATAGCCTCCCCAGAGGAGAGAAAATAGAGCGGCTATGCAATGTCCTTGGGATCCAGTGGCCTCTTGACCCAGATGAAACATACGAGTTAACAACTGATAACATACTGAAGATGCTGGCCATCCACATGCGATTCAGGTGTGGCATTCCAGTCATTATCATGGGAGAGACAGGCTGTGGAAAGACGAGGCTCATTAAATTCCTTTGTGAGTTGCGGAGGAGTGGAGTGGCCACAGAGAACTTGAAGCTGGTCAAGGTGCACGGAGGCACAACCTCAGAGATGATTTACACCAAAGTCAGAGAAGCTGAAGATATTGCTTCTGTTAACAAGCAAGACTATGGATTTGACTCTGTTCTCTTCTTCGATGAGGCCAACACTACAGAGTCCATCAGCAGTATCAAGGAGGTCCTCTGCGACAAGACAGTCAAGGGGGAAAGTTTGACACAGGACAGTGGGCTGCAGATCATTGCAGCATGCAACCCTTATCGAAAACACACAGATGACATGATCAAGAGGTTAGAATCTGCTGGTCTTGGGTACAGAGTTCGAGCTGAAGAAACAGATGAAAAGCTTGGGTCTATCCCTCTTCGCCAGTTAGTGTATAGAGTTCAAGCATTGCCACCAAGCATGATCCCTCTGGTGTGGGACTTTGGACAGTTAAATGATCACACAGAGAAAATATACATCCAGCAGATTGTGCAAAGGGTGATCGAAACAACGCAATCAATCAAACAAACCTCGAGTGGATCACCGATGTCCTTTCAGCTTCCCAGAAGTATATGAGAACAAGAAAGGATGAATGCAGCTTTGTCAGCCTGAGAGATGTTGAACGCTGCATGCTGTCTTTTGTGTGGTTCTATGACAACCACCTCATGCTGTTTGGAGAACTTGAAAAATATGAGAGCAATCAAAATGCTGAGAACAATGATAGGAATCAGAGACAGCTTGAGGTCAGAGATCCAGTGCTCTGGTCTCTAGTTATGGCCATAGGAGTGTGCTACCATGCCTGCCTGGAAAAAAAGGATAAATACAGAGAGAAAGTCAGCAAATGTCTTCCAGAAAGATACAGCCCAGCAAAGGTAATGCAGGAGATCTCACTCATGCAGGATGTACTTTTGAGCGGTGTGCCAATGGGGGATACAATTGCAAGAAACAGTGCTCTCAAAGAAAATGTCTTCATGATGGTTCTCTGCATTGAGCTGAGAATCCCTCTCTTTTTGGTTGGAAAACCTGGAAGCTCAAAATCCCTGTCTAAAACTCTGGTGGCAGACGCAATGCAAGGCCAAGCTTCTCATTCTGACTTCTACAAAATGTTTAAACAGATCCATTTGGTGTCCTTCCAGTGCAGCCCTCACTCAACACCAGAAGGCATCATTAATACTTTTAAGCAATGCGGACGCTTCCAGGAAGGAAAGAACTTGAATGAGTACATTTCAGTCGTGGTGCTTGATGAGATTGGGTTGGCGGAGGACTCTCCAAAGATGCCACTGAAAACCCTTCATCCCCTGCTAGAAGAGGGATGCATAGATGATGAAGCACTACCACACAAAAAGGTCGGATTCATTGGAATCTCCAACTGGGCTTTAGACCCTGCGAAGATGAACAGAGGCATATTTGTCTCCCGCGGTGATCCTGATGAAAAGGAGCTGATTGAGAGTGCCAAAGGCATATGCAGATCTGATGCCATGGTTTTGGAGAAGGTCAGGGACTTCTTCCAGCCCTTTGCAAGATCTTACTTGAGCATCTGTCACAAACAAACAAAACAACGCAAAGGATTTTTTGGCCTACGTGACTACTACAGCTTGATTAAGATGATTTTTGCATTGGCAAAGGTTTCTCATTGCAAACCTACTGCAGAGGAAACAATGAAGGCAGTGTTGAGAAATTTCAGTGGTAGGGAAGATGTGAATGCAGTTGCTGTCTTCACCAAGAGACTGAAGATTGCACCGAACTTGGACAACATCAGTGCTATTGAGTTTGTGAGAGAAAACATTCAAGCAGTTGGACAAGATGAAGACTGTCGGTACCTGCTGGTGCTAACAAAAAACTATGCAGCCCTCCAGATCCTTCAGCAAACCTTCTTTTCAGAAAGTGGCCAGCCAGAGATCATCTTCGGATCCAGTTTCCCAAAAGATCAAGAATACACCCAAATCTGCCGCAACATCAACAGAGTGAAGATCTGCATGGAGACGGGTCAAACAGTTGTGCTTCTTAACTTGCAGAACCTCTACGAAAGTCTGTACGATGCTCTCAACCAATACTATGTCTGCTTGGGAGGACAGAAATATGTTGACCTTGGACTGGGGACCCACCGTGTGAAATGCAGGGTGCACAAAGACTTCAGGCTAATTGTCATTGAGGAAAGAGAGGTGGTCTACAAACAGTTCCCCATACCGCTCATCAACAGGCTGGAGAAACACTACCTGGACATCCAAACTGTGCTCAAAACTGAGCAGAAAAGGATTGTGGAGGAATTGGAGGGATGGGTGAAACTTTTTGTGTCCCTTGGCAGTCAACGTGCAGCAACTGCTCAGACTTACAAGTACAAAGCACCGGACGTCTTCATCGGGTACCACTCAGACACATGTGCATCTGTAGTGCTTCAAGTCATCGAGAAGCAGAAGGACAGTATGGATATCTCCGACCCTGAGAGGAAGATTCTGGAAGAAGCCAAACTCGTCCTGCTCAAATGTGCTACACCAGACTCAGTTGTACGACTGGACTGCACAGGCCTCCCCAAAGTGGAGAGTGACAATCTGTCCAGGGTCTACTTTGAAGAGCAGAGTAACAGCTGTTTAGCCGACTTCATTCTTGCTCACACAACACAGGAAGTCCATTGCAGCTCCTCATTCACAGAGGTAAACTTAAAGTTGTCATATAACACACAAGTCCTCATAAGGCCTTTATAATCACTCTTATTTTAAACCCTAGGTGACAACTTTCTCCAGACTTCTGACAGCATCTGACTTGGAACCACTGGGGCAAATGTTGCAAAGTGTAGAGCTCCTCTCACTCCAGCAGTTTGACACGGAGCAATCGTTCCTGAAGAAGATCAGGTTTGTTGATATAATGGGAAGACGTGTGATATTTATTTGATAATAGATGTGATTATTTGGCCTGAAATGTATTCTTATTCTCCCAGTAAAATTTTGTGCAAATAATGTACCACTCATAAATAATGGGATTCTTAGTTGTAAAGCTAACTGTACATACAAACTTCTGAGGTCAGTTAGACTTTGGCTGAATTTAGAGTTGTATTTAAAAGCTGTTTTGACACCTGTGGTATTACTGGATATGTTTTGTGGATGTAGTGGATCTACATTGAAGAATAATTTGCAAGAATACACTTCTCTTCCGTCATCTCAACATGTGATCTAATTTCTAAGATCTATTCCTTTTTTCTTGTAGGAACTACCTCACAGCTGGCAGAAGAAGCAATAACCCTGGACCCTGCAACAAGATCCTCATCATTCAGTGCGACTTTGAAGTTTCTCAAAGTGCCAATCTCATTGCATCAGCAAAGTGCGTCCAACTTTTCCTCTCTGTTAGGTATGCACTACTGGATGGTTTATGTTATATTGAATGTTGCTTTTTGTTTTTTAGGTATTCATCCATAAATGAGATCAACAAGATAACTCAGGAGAGCATAGGCGGCAAGGTGTTTGTCTATTTTATCACCAGACTGCCAAGAATGGAAGGAGGAAGTTCCTACATTGGCTTTCATGGAGGTAAGGAAACTAAACACTGTGAATACGATGTTGTTATTAATGTTTGGAGATTAGAAAATAATCACAGACATGCTGATATTCACAGGCCCCTGGACATCAGCTCACATCGATGACCTCAGGCGGTCCAAAGACATTGTTTCAGACATCAAAGCCTTGCAAAAAATGACAATCAGTGAGATGTTCGAAACAAAGATGACTCTGCATGAAGGTATCAGACTGACTGTTAAATTACAGTACATGACAGTTCCCTCTCTGTCTCCATCCACTCACTCTCTCTCACTTATACACTCATGATTTTCTTATGTAGATGTTCTTAAAATTAAAAATACCTACATGTAAATGAACTTATCAAATAGTTTTACTCTTCTTAAAACTTGTATAGCATTATATTTAATGATAAAATATATATTTTTCTACAGCCATGGAGGTCGACGACATGTACACTGAAAATGAACACGAGGAAGCAGTTCAGGAAAATGTGCAGTCAGATGAAAAGGTGAGTACAGGCAAAATATTTCAAACATTTGCTATTGAGGGAAATCACAAAATTCACATCAGACAAACATGCTCAAATCCTTTAGCTGAAAGATCCAATCTGTGAATTCTTTAACCTCCACAAACACTGATGTGTATCCTGGGTTATGTGTGACACATGGTTTTGACTGGTGTGTTCTCCTGCTGCAGTTTGGGGATTGTGTTGTGGACACCACAGCGCTGCTGAGGAGCTGTGTGCAGAGTGCAGTAGGCATGCTGAGGGACCAGGTGGACATGGGCAGCCGCAGTACCCACAGAGTTGAGATCCTGCTGACACTCCTCAGTGACAATGATGAAATAAAAGGTACAAACAATAACTCTGCAGTCATTTTATTTTCTTTCAACAGGCACAGGGCCTTTAATATGATTTGATTCTTGTCAGGTGAATTTCTACAAATTGTGAAGAGGCATCTTCACTCATTGCTGTCGTCTCATGATGGCAACACCTTCTCATCCATGAAAAGCAACTGGGTCATTAAGGAGGCATCAAACATAGACGCACTGCAAGAAGGAGGCACCTTCAGGTGAGTTCTTCAGTCGTTGATTCATGGTTGTATGTTTCCCTAATGTTCTGTTTAAACAGCACTGATGATATTTGGGGGTCTTTACAGGAACACACTATGGAAGCGTGTTCAGGCTGTGGTGGTTCCCCTCTTGGCCCAACTGGTTTCAGTCATCGACCGAGACCAAAACTTGGATATCTTGCTTGACAGCAACTGTGGTGAATCTGTCAAAAGACTGTGGTTAGATATCTTTGGGAATGATAAACTCTTGGATATCCCACATTTAACACTGGACCACAAGTGAGTGGGGATAATACCGCAATCTGAAATAGGAATAACACATTCCTGTTACTAGTGAAACAGAATTTTACATTTGCACATATTAACCCTATGCAATCTTATTCTGTTCAAAGCAATGAGACAAAAACAATCCTTGTACAAAACAACATTGCCCAGGACCAGATCATGAGCTGCAGCATGCCTTTCAGTTGGAGGATCAAGAACTACCTAGAGCAGCTCTGGGTCCATGCACTTCAACATGAAGGTAAAGGCTTCTATCACGTACTTTACAAAATTGCAGTGCTGCTTCTCTGGATTTTAATGTTAAAAGTAAAACCAACATCAATGTGAATGTCTTTTAGGCCAAACTCAGCTGGAGTTTGATGATTTCTTTTGGAAGACACCACTCGGGCGTTACATTGAAAAAGCAGACCCAGAGATGCAGAAGGAGTTTTTCCACCGCTATATTCAGGATTTCATCTCTATGACAATGAACCTGACTTGCAAGGACGAGCTGCAGGTAGTTAATAGTTTAATAGATTAACTGTTGAAATGAAGGCATGATTGTTAGGCTACATATGTGGGATGGTTTGTGAATGTTTTTGCACTTATCTAAATTATCCTCGACTCTTCAGATACTGTGTGCTGCCTTGAATTGTTGTGTCAATGAGCTGCGATTGCGGCTCAATGCCACAGACACGGTGACGTCTCTTCCATGGGTCCATGCTGCTTATCATGAGTTCAAAAAGCGTCTACAGAACCTCACAAGAATGATCTGCATAGAGCCTCTGGTGACACAGCATCTCATGCAGATGCCAGATACCAGAAGCGGGGATGAACTGGTGAGCCTCTAAAGTCTGTCTTAAAAACCACACTTGCACTATTCTACTTAGAATGAAGCAGGCATACAAGTGACTTATTTCAGTTTTTTATTTAAATTGCTTTACTCGTGTAGTGATTGTATTCCCCCTCTCTTCTAAGGTGTTCGATGTGTACGCTGCTTTTGCATGTGTGGAGTACTTGGAGCCCACAGACCTGAACACGGACGCCCAAAGACAAGCTTGGCTCAGACGGGTCAAAAAACTCCAAGTTCCCATAGAGCTGATCTGCTCAGAGGACAGTGTGAGACACTACGGAGAGCGTAGCAAAACAATCGTCTGCAGAGTCCAGTGAGTCATTCTTTATTGGGTCACAATGGGTCAGTTGTATATGCTGTCTTTAGATACTACTTTATTGAAGTCGATGTTTTATTTATTTATTTTTGTTCCATTGTTCTTAGAGCTGGATGGAATCGGATATTTTCTCTCTCTCTATTTGTGGAGCACATGCTGTTGGGAATTGAAGAGATCGAGAAAAAGCTCACACCTCTGGTTTTGGAGCACACACGAAGGCTTTGCCAGGTTGGTTTGGCTTGTTTATGTTTACCTTGATTCTCAGTAGATTTATTAAAGGACACAATAATAATGTGTAACTTCCTCTCTCTCATCAAGATACTGGAGAAGAATTCAGATCTCAAAACCAGGCAGACATTTGAGGCAGTGATCACTTTGCTCAAAAGCTGCAAAGATCAAGCGGTCAACTGTTTCTTCAGGTAGAAATTCAGTTGAGACTATATTTGCATTGCATCTAAATCACTGCCACATCACTCTCCCTTCACCCAGTGTCGTCTCATGTTGTGAATCTTATGTCCAGGTTTGGTCTTATGCTGTGTCCAGTCTGTATGGGAGACCCACAAAATCCACTCTGCTTGCCATGTGAACACATGTACTGCCTGACATGTATTAAAAAGTGGTTGATCCCAGGTCAGATGTACTGTCCACTCTGCATGCAGCAAGTTGAGGAAGCCTTTCCCTTGGTTCCTTCAGACGAAATGAGGTTGGTGACTGTATATGGATTAGTGAGACAGAGTATTTGGAGTATTAATTAAAAAAATATCAGTTTTCCTAATCTGTGTGAATCCGGCATGTCCGCATTTCAAGAATAAAACGATTTAACTCTTTTGTCTCTTGTTTTGTTTGTCTAGGATTCTAATCAACCAACATGCTCAGTTCAGGAAGCAGTGCAATGCATTCTTCATTGAGCTGGTGTCCACTGTGTGCTTTAAGGACAACTCTCCCCCCTGTTCAGATGTCATTCTCCACTTGCTCTCCTTTCTCATGGTGGAGGCCAGCCCTGTTCCCATTCTCAGGGGTAGGACACTGGGCTGACTTTGTCACTAGCATGTGATTGTTCTTGTTTTTTCCCCTTTCTGACAATCTTTTTTTTTTCTAGTTAATCGTCAAATCCTGACAAAGGTGCTTTCTCCATTTGATGACTCTGTGGATAAAAATCCAGTGATCCGGTCAGTAGTGCTCAAACTCCTGCTGAAGTACAGGTGAGGTGGTCATAGTTAAAGACTGTATACGATGAACTTGTATAAACTTCCAACATTTTTAGTGCAGTATCTAATTTTTCTACATGTTATTCTATTTTTAAAGCTTTGAAGAGGTGAAGAAATACCTGCAGCAGCATCTGGTGTCAGTCGAGCAGAGCAACTTCTTGGAGGAGTCGGATAAAACTGAACTGTACTTGATGTACATAAACTGCCTCGAGGTCTGAAGTCATTCAGTCACTATCATTGATAAGAAATAAGATTCCGATAACACATTGTGATACATGTGATCTGCCTTTAAATACAAATGTTTACCTTGTCATTCCTCCAGGACTCTATGTTTGAAAGGTTGCAGTTCAGGTCCACTGCAGACCAGCATGTGTGTCTGCAGGATGAAAGTTCCTTCCTGACCGACTACCTGCAGTCACAGGGTCAGTCTGCTGAAAAAGCCACTGTGGAGTACCTGCAGCAGGTGGCCAGAGTGCGTATGGACCTGGATTTGGCTGCCAGCCTCATAGTGGAAAAACGGAGAGCCCCAGGTTTGCAAATTTGGATGATAAACTCACATACACTAGACTGAGATGTTTCAAAATGTTAACCGAAAAAACATCATTCTGCTCTTCTCAATCAAAGCAGAGGCTCAAGAGGGCGGTCAAAGTGGTACCACAGCCTTCCTGACCAGCGTGGTGAACTTGTGCAGACGCAGTGGAAACAGCTGGTATTGTGTCTACTTGATCCGTAAGATCTGCAGCCAACATGGTGTGGAGTTTGTCCTGAAACTCCTGAAAGTGGATGAAATGCGCTGGCTCTTCCCTGAAGAAGTTCTAGAAAAGGTTCACTTGTCCACATTGTAGTTTTTCTAGCGTTAATGTTTAAACAAAGGTAATACTGTGCTATAAATTAAATAGTTGCATATGAAGTAATTAGTTTTAATTTTCATTATTCCCAGAGTGAAGAAGCCACCCCAATCGATCAGTATCTTGTGTGTGGAGAGGACTACAAGACAATCAGAAACGCTGTTGCCAAAGTAGTCATGGAAGGCAAAGTGGATGGGCTGGACCAGACCTGTGAGGTAATATGACATCACTCTCTTGTACGTAACTCAGCATCAAGTCTGGACTTTGTGTGTATGTTAACAAAACCATCTCGCTGCTCTTTTGTTTCTTTATAGGCGTGCAAATGTTCTCCGAAGAGGATAACAGCTAATCTTCTGCTTGCGCTGTACAGAGAAGCCACCACTCTCTACAGAGACCCCAATGTTAGCTTCCATCCCAAGCCTGAGGTAGCGCTTAACGATAAGACCACAGTCTCTATAAGTAATAGACATAGTGACATAACTGGTTGTTCAGTCAGGAATACTCTCGTCATAGATTTAACCATTTATTGCACTTATGGTTTGTACTGTCGTATTTGTCGGTATTGGTTCTGCTCTTAACTCTCAGCAGGATCAGCAGGATGTATAATGTACATACTTATATTTCTACAGCTACTGAAGCCCCTGATGGCCTACATCAAGACCTCAAAGTTCCTTCCCAGCCCAGAGACCAAGAGGTTTGCCGAAGTTCTGGTGACCAACGAACTCAAGTCGCTGGTTGTTCCTCCCGGGACGTCTGGCGCCAGGTGTGCGTTGGTGGAATTAACTATTCACCTGGCTGTTGTGTTGGTATGTGGAGGCCAGGGGATCTTAGCACCTCTACAGCAACTGGCAACAGCACCTGCCAACATGCAGGTATGTTTATTATCAGCTTTTTATTTTCTTCTTTTTAGAGAGAGATAAATACCTCCTCTTTGATGTGATGTATATGTTGTTTTTGTTGGTACAGGCTGCCTTCTTGCCTACAATGCCTGAGGACATGTTAGCAGTAGCTCAACAAGCCATGGGACCGCTGCAGTGGTACCGTAAGTAACAGATCAGAGATGTAATTCTCACATTTTAATACACCAGTTGCAGGTATTACAAGGATTGTTGTTATACTCTAAAAGTATTTATTTATTTATTCTCACCATAGATTGCCCTAATGGTCACCCCTGCACCATTGGAGAGGTACATGTGTTTCTTTCAGTCGGACTCAGTGATTTTGAATAAGACTTATTTTTAGGTTTTTTATATATATATATATATATATATATATATATATTTTGAGTCATATTTTTCATCTTATGTCTTTTTCTTTAGTGCGGCCAGCCAATGGAACAAGGTCGTTGTTTGGACTGTGGGGCTGTGATTGGAGGAACGAATCATATAGTGGTGCCGGGCTTTCATGTCGTTAGGTTACAGTAAGTGTTCTGTAGGTTAAATCAAGAAAACAGAAGAAAGTTCATTAGTGTACATTATATTTGATTTCATGTTTAATTGTTTGTTGACTTCTAATAGGGCGGACCGCACTCAGACAGGCCATATCTTGGGGGACCCAAATCGCAGAGACAACCCAGCCATGTTGGACACAAAGGGCCTCTCTCCTGTTCCCTTCACCATTGTTCGCATGCTCACTCATGTGGCCATGCTGCTCGGCACCTGCAGCCATCTACAGGTAGCTGATAAAGACAGTTTCCCTCCTTAAATATACCCAAAGTAGTTTGGGGGGGGGGGGGTTGTAGCTAAAAGAGAAACATCAAACAATACAAGGGCCATTGTCTCACTCATTCATCCTCTTTTTGTGTGTTTTTAGTCTATTTCTGCTATCATCAAGCCTCCAGTGCCTGACCCAGGTGCATTTCTTCTCGCTCACCTGCAAAAGGACATGGAGCATCTTATCAAATCTCTGGGGAAGGGGACAGACGATACAGTCAGCACCATTCACCTGCTCATCAGCAGCCTCCTGCAACAAGCATGTAAGGAACAACTGAAAAAAAAAAAAAAAAAAAATTTCAACTTTGGCTGCTGCTGGAAAGTGACACATGGCTGCCCTCTAGTGGTCAAATTGTGCATGGGTTCATTTTGTAATTAATAGTGTTTGAAAGGATTTATAAGGAGTGGTTTAGGGTAACTTATGTTATGATGTCAGTATTTCTATTTACATATTTTTTTACATTGTTATTCTGCTGTTATCTGTTGCCATTAAACTTCCTTTTTGTTGTTCCTTTTTGGGCCTGTGATATAATGTTGAAAATGAAAATAAACAGACCCTGATCAAAAAAAACTTCCTTTTTTATGTATTACTTGGTTTGAGGTTCTAAAGGAATCACACTGACTTGATACGAGTCTACTATTCAACACATCTTGTTTTTGCTTTCAGGGCCTGTTCCTAACAACAACCTGCTCACAACCAAAGAAGTTAGAAATGGATGGGAGATGGAAATGAGCAATACCATCATCTCACCGTGGCTGAAGGTAGCAATATGTTGTGACCTTATTTGTTACTAAGGGAATCAATTGAAGAAGAAATTGTTTTATTTGGACAACTTTTTCTGCCTGTTTGTAAAACACTTGTATCAAACAATTGAATTTCTCCTTTCTTCTCCTCCACAGAACTTGGAAAGACAGCTAAAGGAAGTGAACACATTCATCCGAGCTGACTCTCGAATTTCCGCCAATCCAATCATGAAGCTCATGTTTGGCGATCCTAGTCTTTTCTTGGCTTCACTTCCCAAAAAATCACTGATCCATCGTTCTGCTGTGTGGAGCTGCAGGGAGAAAGTTTCTCTGCTGAGCCTCACCCACATTGTGGAGCAGAACGGGGGCAAAGACACTCTGCCTGTGCTCTGGAGGTTTCTGCATAAGGTAAAGAAACTGAGGACAAATACACAGCAAGGGCTTTCTGAAAATTTACTTTTTTATGATCAATTGGGTATAGAAAGAACCTTCACACATCCACTTCATAAGACAGGTGCATAAACTTCCGCACACTGTCTAACATGCAAACAAGCACTGATAGCGTACTCGTTTCGGTACCAGACTTTCATTTTGTTTGACTGAAACACTAGAACTCAGCAGTAGCATTATGCTAGTGAGTGACATCAAAGAAAAATCTACCATGCATTTTTTGTTTTTATTTTTTTAGGAGGCCGAGCTGCGACTGGTGAAGCACCTTCCTGATATCCTCACACTGCAGAGAGATCTGGTCAAGACGTTTCAAAACGTCTCTGAGCTGACCTGCAGCACCATAGCAGAATTCCTCCACAGTCAGAAAGCAGGTACTGTAACTGTCTACATCAGAAGTTCTGTGAGAGTCGCAGAACAACTACTTATACTAACCACTTTCTAATCACCTCTTCCTCAGAAATGTGACAGTAACACTGCTGGAAACAGAGAGATAAATGTTGCTTTAAACAAAGGAAACATTGAACATTGATGTGTTTTAGTTCTATAATCATCTGTGTTGTGTACACTTTGGATAATATTTTACTTCTTCATCTGTTCAGTTTCCCTGAAAGCCTGGTACCAGAAATACATTGAAGTCTTCCTCACAACCTGGAATCAGCTCAGAGTCTCTTTGGGGACAAACGGTGAATATTATTTATTTTCACTCTTTATTTAACTCACACTGGCCTTTCAAACATCGAGATCTGACCTGAAATTTGTCGTTCAGGTGAGCTCAAGATCCCGCTGATCTCTGCGAGAAGGACCTGGATCTCAACAGTGACTTTAAAGTGCTGTTACCACGGCGACAGGGCCCAGGCCTGTGCTCCACCGCTCTAGTCAGCTATCTCATCGCCCTGCACAATGACCTGGTTTACTGTGTGGATAAACACACTGGAGAGGAGACCAGGTGGGGGCGCTCTTGTCACATATATAACCCTTGCTGCAAGAGCACTTCTGCCACTGCATATGACTATTCATTTGTTTATTTTGGAGTTTGAGAGATTATAAAAGGATAATATTGATTTGCAAAATCAAAACCAGAGAGGGGTGAAAACAAGAAAAGCATGTGTGCAGATATGCTCTTATAATACAGCATTTGGCTCACCGTTCTTTTCATTTCATCTCTCCCCCAGTTACAAAGTGAGTCCAGCAGATCTGACTGACCTGCATGTGATTCGGTATGAGCTGGAGAGGGATCTGATGCCCCTGATTCTGTCCAACACCCAGTACAGCATTGAGAGAGGCCAGGAGACGCTTCATGAGTATGACTTACCCAAAATCCAGCAGCAGATTATCTCTCGCTTCTTACTGGGCAAACCTCTCATCACTCTCAACGTAAGCAAATAGAAAAAGAAACAAGTGCACCCTTTTTTGTTTTGAAAAGAGATCAAATATAAATGTTTTTGTCCCTTTCTCTCTGCAGGGCATTCCAACACTAGTGAACAGACATGACCGTAACTATGAAATCATCCTGAAGGATGTGAAGGCAAAAGTCAAGCAAGTAAGCTGTGATAATAAAACATTACACATTAGTTACTCAAATGTCTTTTGTTTAGTATGTTGCTGCAGATTTCACTTAATGCTACCGTTCTACCTGTGTGTGTGTGTGTGTGTGTTTGCCAACAGGAGCCTCTTCAGACTCTCACCCTGTTTGCAATGGCGGGGGAGCTTCACTCATACAGCGAGGTGTGTGAGGCCTTGTCCACTCTGGAAGTGGCCCTCGGTTTCCTCGCCATGACCGGGGGAGAGCCTCTCATGCAGCTGTCCTGCTACCTGGAGGAGGTGCTGCAGATGGAGAACCAGATGGCTCCACACATATTCAAGGTCAGCCTATCAGAGACACAGGATATTTAATCTTGTTGCATGTTCTCCTGCTTCCACTGAGCAAACTTTTGATACTTTGTATGCAAACAATGTCACACCTTTTGAGGTTACTTTAAGTTTTATATTTCTTAAGTGTTAATCACTGATGGATTTAAAGCAACAAAGTCATATTTGGTGGTGTTTATTTTATGTTCTTGGCATTAGTTAGTATTTAATGTGTTGTTTTTTTGTATTTTGCTCTCAGGCCTTGAGCATGTGCTGTCTAAAACACTGTGTGGCTCTGTGGCAGCTGCTGATCTCACTGAAATCAGAAAATATGCTGCGACTCAAGAGGGTAAGGCATCACAGAATTCTACCAGAGCACATATAGAGAAGAGGAAACTGCATTTGTCATCTAAGTAATAACATATTGGTTATAATGATCTGATCTATGATCTAATGTTTTGTGCTGTTATAGAAATTTATTGAAACCCTCTTTTTGTCAGAGCAATGATATCTATTCTCACATTACTATTCCAATTGGCTGTTCCATGAAATTCTTCTTTTTTAAGACTTATTTTTAGGCTTTTATGCCTTTATCTGAGAGGATGGTGTTTAGAGTAGGTAATCGGGGAGAGAGTGTGGGGAATGACATGTGGGAAAGGAGCCACAGGTCGGACTTGAACCTGTGTCGCACGCTTGGAGGACTAGAGCCTCCCTACATGGGGTGCAACCTCACTGTTTGGACCATTTACATTCATTTCTAATGTTCTTTAGGATCCATTCGTGGGGGTCTCAGAGAAGTATAAACAGGTCCTGGGTGAGGACGAGCACCGGCTGCTGACTGGCTTCTTCTCTAAGAACAGTGCCGACGCTTTCCTGCTGGAGATGCACGAGTTCCTGGTTCTGGTCCTTCAAAAGCCCAATGCACTTGATACCTTCAGGCCGGACTGGAGGTAAAATGAATGACTTTACTACTTAAATATTTATTCTCTAACCTTGAATATTTCTTAAAATAAATAGAGAAATATTCTTTTCTCATTGTGTTGAATATTTGAGGTAATAAAAAGTGAAATCCTGAATGAATAACAGAATTGAACATGAATTGTCAGGATGTGATCATTTTAGCTTTGTTTCATGAGTAAGCTGGAGATAGAGAGTATGTTATGACGCAGAGTGCTGCATTCAAACAAAGTGAACATTACCTGAATCCCTCTTTAACAAACTTTGGAAGAGTTTAGCATGTTGCACACGAGTTACCTCACAAGGACAGAAATGTACTTCATGACTTTGTACAATTTATTTTATATGAATGGACTTTGTATGGTCCAGAGACATTGCGATGTCACTGTGAGCTATGATAAGTAGGGCCTGACCAATATGGATTTTTGGGGCCAATATCGATATTTGGGACAGAAAAAATCTGATGCTGATATATTTTTTGGATCTATGTTCATCCTGTAGAGACAGATAGATATAGATAAACACATTTATTGTGTGGATCCCTCAAATGCAATTAAGCACTTGTTGAAAAGATATATAACGAAGACAAGATGGTCTCTCAATGTTAAAGTAACATGGACATGTACGTGCATCATTGCTCAACACTCTGGATGTTTGTTGTAATCTATATGTGCTAAGTGATTTTTTTGAATATAGCACCCTCTGCTGGTGAAAGCCAGAAAGAGAACTGCTAGTTTAATACAATGATACTCAAATGAAATGCTATTTGACTGGTGAATAAATCAGTGCATATCAGCGCATATCAGAGATAAAATTAGACAATACCGAGAGTCACTGGACATGCTTATATCGGCCGATATTATCAGCTGGTTGATGAATTGTTCAGGCTCTGATTATAAGTCACAGCCATTACCTAGACCTTCATGGTATTGTGTCTAGTAAGAAGCTTTGATGAAATTTGTCTGGAAAATGTAAAGAAAAAACGACTGATGACTGGGCTAATATGTCAATGTGATGATTTCCATCATTAATGTCAAATCACATGAATTAATTGTGTTTTTGTCCTCAAAAGCCTGAAAGACACACTATTCTCCTACATGGAGCGCAAAGACCTGGACATCCCGCGAGATGTGGAGGAGCTGTTTCCAGTAGAGATCCTCCTGTGTCACTACGTAGAAGCCTGGAAGTTCATTGTGGCCTTCAAGCAGGAGCGTGGACAGAGGCAGTGAGACACTCAGAAGGGTTGTTTTCTTTATCACTTCTTTATTTGATGTACTCAAATACCTCAGATGAAGTTTACAATCATGATAAATCCACAGTATTGTTGTTGTTCGGCTGTGGGGTTGAATATTTATGCAGAAGACAAATGCCTTTTTAAAGAGCACTGTTGTGAAGTGTCATTGTGCCACAGATCAAGTGTTCTCCTCTACAGTTGACCGTTTAAAATGTATCCTCAATTTTTTTTCTGCACTTGTTTTATATTCTCTTCCATTTTCTGAAGCATCAACATGCACAGGGTTTCCCTACAGATGCACGTTCTCTCGTTGACACTTTACTTGAAATGTGAATTTGCCTGTCCCAGAGAGGCAAAATAAAAAAGAATCTGAATTCTTCTCAGGTACCAAATGTTGAATCATCTGGGGGCTTAAAGCCACACTTAACTCACATTATATAATGTGTCATTTCCATTCATGAATAATTATGTTGATGTGTCATATCTGTGTCAAAGATGTACTTTTCTTTCTTCTACTCTTCAAATTCACTGTCTTTAAAAATATATACATTTTTCCTTAAAACAACTGTACACACTTTACATTCCAGTTGTGACATTTTCATTTATTTTCTCTCAGATTGCATCATACTCCGCCTTTTTTTTAATTTTTCCCAGAAGTTTGTTATATTCCTCGTTTGCTTGATAAAACAAACTCCTTCAAATAAAGCAGACATTTCCTATGTTATGTGTTTGTTTGGCTGTTTTGTGTATAATGAGGAAATAAGACATCGACAAAATAACATGTTTTAAACACGGCTGGTTTGTCAGGTATCTCTAAGCTTCCCTCTTCTCTCCCTGGTAAGTTACTTGTCCTTCATCTTTTAATGACGATTTGATGCATTTGTTTTGACAAACTAGAAATGGGAATCTGGTTCTGTAGTCATTGCAGTGTGCTCAAACATGTAAAGGAAGAATGTTTTGGTATAGTGCCGGTGCTCGAGGGCAATATCTACAGGCTGTGTGTCATCAGTGATCTAAATAGTCCACAGGGGGCAGCACACTCAGATCTGTGTTACAAACACTGGGTACATGAAGGTTCACTTGGTGTCTTATAACTCCCTTTCCCTGTGAACAGTTTTAGAGGTCGTTACTGGAGATTCTCAACCACTTACTCATGTACTGTGTGTTGTTACTCGCTGTATATTAACCCCTAACAAGAACCTAGCAGAGGCTGTCCATGATGCAGTGCTCAGGAAGTGGCTGCCTGCCGAAGGTTACGTGACTTTCTGACCCTCTGTTGGTGGGACCTCAATGTGTTTCTGATCAGGCTGATGGAAATGATAAGGACAAGACAGACTGAAGACTGCTGCTGGACGGCTCTTTAATTCAATTTCCTCTATACCAAAGCAGTGTTTAGCATAACAATGACAAATGGAAGCATTTCGCCTGTGAAAGTAAACCATGCTGGAGACCACCCTCTGGGAGTCTGCCGCCAAATGATAGAGTCCATTAGAGTCAGGACTGCAGAGGTTCCACATTTCACCCAAATTCCTTTTTTTTCCCCCTTTATCTCAGTAACATTATGATCGGGTCGCAGTGATCAAACTGAAACAACAAACTGACAGCAAAAGAGGAGAACACATTTAAAGTTGGACATCAGTAGGATGATTGGTCGATAGAGGTTGTGGCAAAATCTGGTTGGTAAAGTAAAGAGTAAATGCTTCAAATCAGCAGGAACATAGTGAGAGGGAGAGTGACATGAATGAAGGATGGTGAATGAATATGAAACAGTTGTCCTGCGTGAACTTACACTGAGCTTCATTAGACTTCATGTCTGTGCAATTTAAGTCAAAGTTATTTCACTTTTTGGATGTAGTGTGTGTTTTGGGGAACTAACTTTTCAAGTTTTTAGTCAATTTCCAATCACATGCCAGATGAACAAAAAAAAAAGAATCTGATCTGTAAATCATGAAGAAACACATAAAACCCCAGTCGGGAGTCCTAATTCATTCCAAGTTGATGGACTACCAATTAGAGTCGTCACACATTTCTCCATTATAAGGCGATGCTAACAAGCGCTATCTAGCCGTGTCCCTGTTCTCATTAGCAAACCCAAATGTGGAAGTACTTTACTTGGTACTTAATAATCACACTCACAAATGGGTCATAAGGCGTGATTTGTGCGACTCAGTCCTGGAGAACAAGCCTCAGTGAGCAAGTTTAATCACTTCAACTTCCACTCCTGTAGGCTTCAAAGCCGCCATGCCAGCGCTACAAAGGGACCAAATTCTTTCCCCTGCTCTCTGCTTGTTTCTTGTCTTTGTCTCTTGATGAGGAGGAATTAGGGGCACATTACTGTGCATCGTGGCTCACATTTAATGATATTCATGCTTGCTGAGCAGTCAGGATCAGGTCACAAGCATTTGGGTAAATTATGGTTAACAAAGGTGGATAATGATGTGCAGAAATTACCTCTTTTTGTTTGCAGCCGCAGTGTGTTGAAGGACTTGATGTGCATGGCTGTCCTTTTTTCAGAGCTTTTAGCATTTTGTTGAGTAATACCGATGGATTCAGAAAAGTTTCTAGGAAGCATTGGTTTCCAGCCAGTAACAGATAACACTGTACTGCTTGGAAAATCAGTTTCACTTAAGTCAGATGGACCAAAATGTTGACATCACTTTTGGAAACTGTAGTTTAAAGGAATATGATGTCAATTTATATGCAATATGAAGCTACGAGTCAACCAAAGTGTGCTAACATTAGCCTGCTAACACAACAATGCAGACCAAAGGCAATTGCAGCTCAAGCAAAGGACAATATTGTCCGCCGCTTGCGCTTCATGGTGCTTAATTATGGTGCGTTCTAATTAATAACTCCTTCGTGCAAATAGCAAGTGGAGAGGGGTTGGAGGCTTCAGAATAGTCGAGGTGTCACCAAACAGTAGTTTGTTTTGTGCTCAAGGGCGACATCTACTGGATTAAAATGTTGCACATTCTTCCTTTAATATACATTTAGACAAACCCGAATCCAGTCTTTAAGAAATATGTGAAATCTGCCCCCTTTTTTTTTCAGCTAATCTACTTTGATGTTAAACTATATTTAAAATCAAATCCATTTTCCCGGTGGTTCAATGGTTGAATGCTGGTTTCGACTGATGCAGATCAGTGTACTGATAATGTCAGATAAGTGACGTCACAGAATAATGCTTAAAAAAAATCATAAAGCTCAATCTAGGTCAGCAATCTAAATCAGTTCTTCTTGTCTTAAGTTACTCCTGTGTATCTTTTCACCCTTCAGAGACGCCCTATGAACTCTTCAATCCAGTTAGAATAATATTAAGTTCAGCTTCAAATCGTCACTGTGCCTTGATCTGCAGTGGAGCTTCAGACTTAACCCTTTGCAAAACAGCCCCAGATATTCATCACGTTTACACCTTGGGGATCCAATATCATTCACAGGCGCCGTCGCCAGTCAGGCGCTCTGGGCCAAAAGGGAGCTAAGATTTTAATGATTGTGGTATGAAATCAGTACCCTGAAACACTCCTGAGACCTCTGAAAGCACACCAACAGGCTACTGTATTTTCTATGGGGCATTACATATGCTTTACTGGCGGTCTGGGAAAATGTTTTCTTTAAATTAGCCCTTCAGGGTGCTGCTGTTATTGCATTATTATCAAATTAGTGTATTTTAATTACTACGTCATTTGAAATGTATGTGCCAGTAGGTCACAGTGGGGTGAGAGCAGAGACCGTGTCCAAACTCTCAGGCCGTCGAGCCCTGCTGTGCAAAGCTGAGACGAGGGAGCGAGAGAGTGAGCGAGAGAGAAAGAATAACTCAGTGAGCACATCTGTGAATTATATTAGCTAATTGTGTGCACTTCTCTTTGCACTCAACACTTGGGTTGTCCTCCAAGCACAAGGAAGAAATTAACCGCACTGCTGCCATGTTGTTCTATTAAATACGTGAAGAGAAAATACAATTACTGGTTAAGTGGGAACATACCACAAGGGATTATGGGAGGCATCGCATTTCAGGATTTCAGAGTGAGTTAATTTTTTTTTTTGCTTTGCATGCGAACAGGTTTCTGAGCAACATTAAACCAAAGATGAAACCAAATGACAGTGTTGCAGTGAGAATTTTGTCTTTGCATTAAAAATTCCTGCACATTCAAACCTCAACAAAACTGTGCAGTCAAAGAAATCATCAATGATCTGGAGTGTAGATTCTCTTGTGACACATTATGAACTTGCATGTACCTCCATTATTCGCTGTAAAATACAGAATATCAACTTTTTTTGCAGGCTCAGTCCTCAGTGGAAAATGGCTGTTATTGCATAATACTGAGTCGAGTCAGAGCTGCAAAACTCACCTTGGGCGAAGAAATCTCAACTGTACCCGACTCTTCACAACAGCTTGAATGTCGATACCAAGCCGCCTGCTACAGGCACGCAGCTCAGGTTTTGCATTCCGTAACAATAAAAGCACATATTGAATCAGATTGTTATGGTAAGAGGAGAATGTGTTTGAGCAGTTCAGAAATGTGTCCTGCATTTCCCAAATAATAAGCAAAATGTGTCAGACACTGAGTTGCATTCACATTGTTAGAAGCTCCTGCTGTTCTCACTGACTTTTATTTTGGGAAATAAAAAACTCAAAACAAAATGGAAAACCATTGGGCACAAGCCAGAATTGATTGACCGTGTAGACACACAGTTCAGGCTTTAGGAGACAAACACTCTCATTACAAGTGTCATGTTTCTTCAGGTGGTTATATCATGTTTTTGTGAGCAACAAGCTAAATTATGTAATGACAATCACTTTGGAAACAAATGCAAATTTGGGGTTCCTCAGATGGCAATTCAAGTCATATTTAGATTACATTTTTTTCAACAATTCTCAGGAACCGATCAAAATAACAAACATCAGAATCACTCATCTCAGATCATACATCACTATCCACTCTTGAGCTCTTGGATAGGATTGGCTATGATACAATTCACTTCATTGTCCCCCTGGGGAATTTTTTCTTGGACTCATTGAGCTACCTATAGAGTAGAATGAATAACTAAAAAAAACTGAATAACTAAAAAAACAAAAGCAACAAACAACAATCCACATGTCCATAGAAATGCACATTTCTCAGCCTATCACAACTGTTTTATTTAAAGAGGTCATATTATGCCCTTTTTGGGGTTCGTATATATTTAATCTATGTACTAAAGTATGTTCACAATAGCTAAAGTTCGAAAAAAGTGTCTGTTTTCATGTACTGCCGCTCCATGCACTGGCTCGCTTCTGACTCTCTCTCTAAGGCTCTAAAGTGCCCACGTTCAGAGCATCAGAGTCCCCATGTGTGCCAAGTCTGATCTGATTGGTCAGCCTGTCGGCTCTGCCGTAATTGGTCACTTGCTCAGCCACTCTGGCTCCGAGGGCCGGGAGCAAAAACATTAGCACCTTAGCACTACTGTGCTACCGCAGGCTACGGCATATCGTGGGCGTGCTACAGAAGTTAACGGGCGTGCAACATGAGCTGCTGGGCTTGCCACAACGAGCCAATGGGCTTAGATCAGTGATCTCACACTGACAATGACATCAGACTGAAAAAATTTTATCGAGGGGGGCTAGAACCGAGCATTACATGCAGCTAATGCTACAGCTAACAGGAGGACGTAGGAGAAGCCTCGTTTCCGCAGACTTTGAATTTTTGCAAATAGATGTGACTAAACATGCACAGGACACTTGGAAAACACACTAAAGAACATATAAAACCAAAAAAAGCATAATATGGGACCTTTAATGTGGGGTCAGGTAACCAGAAATAACTGACTGTAAAGTAAAACACTGGATTCTTTTTATGTAAACAGAGACTGCTGCTGCTGCTGATGCAAAACATCTAAAATCCACTGTTTATGTGCCCCGCCCCTTATTGTTTCCACCTCTGTCTCGTTAGTTTCACCTGTGCCTGATTAACCAGTGTGTCTCTGTGTTCATTTTCTCCATGCCAGTTTTTTTCATCAAACATTTTAACCCTTGTTTCTTGTGGATCTTCCTCATGGCTCTTCTTGTGTTTTTCACCTGTTTTGTTGGACCTTGTTGCTTCTTGGACTCTGTAAAAGTAAGTCTTGGATTTTGTTCACATCAACATATCACCAACATTTGTGACTCAACCAAACGTCAAAAGGTGTTTGGCCACTTAATCATATAATGCAGACCATTTTTGATCATGTTGAAGTAGAAGCAAGATTATCAGATGTAGTAACTAGCTACCTCGCTAGCTAGCCTAGCAGCTAACCACTGTTTCACATAAACATTGCTCTGATTGGTTGCAGCTTCCAGAGGCCCAATGATCTTACCAAATAAGAATCTAAATGAACAGAGGTTTTGCAGAGTACATTTTCAATTAAAAATCATTTTAGGCCATGTAAGATAACACATTACATATCATATTAATCAAGCCTCATTAATTATAAATGTGGTTTTTATCATCACATTTGCCGTATTGTGTTTAAAATATGTGGATTTTTGCATCTTGACACTAACATTTATCCAGTGTAACTAGTTTTAGTCAAGATTAAGATAGACACTTGGGTAATTGTTCACCCTCTCACACACCACTCCTTAAAATCTGACATCTGGGCGTGCAGGCAGATGCAAATAATAATGCAACACTTGAACAAATGCTCCTTTTTTCTGATTTCCAAGCAAATACTGCAGGAAAAATGTCATTTTTCACCAAAGTGGTGCTGCAAAGAGCCACCCACTTGTCTGGCCTTTGGCACACATGTCAGAATTTTCCTCAGGAGCAGCGACTCAGCAGACCTGTCAGGTTCCTGCCCAGGTTTCTGTGTAAGCATTTCTCTGGAAAAGTCCTCGCTGTTCTGCAAAAAGTCTTAAGTGCACACCATCTTTATACTTTTATGGTTAAGCCATGAATGTCGCTACATTGTCATTATGTAACATTTCCCAGAGTTTTCGTTTCTTGGAGGGGTTTGGATCTCGTAACAAAAATCAAACAACACAAGTATCGGTTTACATCAAGGCTGAGACATGCCTGGAGCTCTGACAACAGAAAACTCTCTGAAAGAGAGAAAACAGTTGCTGCCTGGCACACAGCAAAGAGTGTTATATAATACAATTAAATGCCGTTCTCTCGTTCCTCTTTCTTCCTGTTTGCTTTTTCTCACACTCTTCTTTCTTTCTTTCCCTCTCTCTTTAGCCTCTCTTCATTCATTCTCTTCTCCCTGATGTGCTTTGTTATCTGACGGCCTTTGGCTGTGAATAGATAATGACTGTGCAAGAGGTTTTGTTTACCATGGATACCAAAGGATTAGGGTGATTACTGCTGGTGCCAGTGTTGTAACAAGCTGGGGAAACCTTCCACTGTGTATGGAGGTGCTGACAGCTATCCTGTACAAGATTAGAGAACTTGTATCATGGGATGTTTTTCTCCACCTGGTGTTGAGAGACTCAGAGAAAAGGCTGAACATCACAATGCCAAGACCTCAAGGACCAGGGCTGTCCTGCAGCGAAGGTAATCCTCAGCCTCTGTGGTTTGGCTTGTTCATTCCTCAGACTTATGTTAGCTGTAGCCCATGATATGCAGTCTTAGTTGGTGGGAAATGACGTCACCTTTTACCTTGACCTTTCTCCTTGGTATTCCCTGATGCCTCTGGTGGTCCACAGAGAAAGATGGTTCCTCTACCTCCAACTAAGCTCTCCTGTGGTCAGGGCTCAAGACGGTGTTCAGTTTCACCGAGCCTCTCTTCTTGGCCCCAGCACAAATACACAACACCCTCTCCGATTGCACTTGATAATATTTATCCTCAATTATAATTCCACAGATATGGATTCTTGAGTGGAGTACAGTGGCACCAGACAAAGCAGAGCGGCCTTGAGACCCCCGACCGGCCCTTGCTGAGGTGGGTTCCTGCATTAACCCCAGACAATCCATGTTCTCTTCAGCAGTGGGGCAAAATAAGCAATGTGGCCATTAAGAGCGCCAATATAATGGGGAAACACTTGGATGTATATTTATCCGTGAGGTGAGTGCATGCATTGGGATGGTGAAACGTAAAACCAGCAAGAACACAAACTAAGTGTTGCATGTGAGGGCTGGTAACAGTTTAAATAAATGAGTCCAGCCGTGTCTGCTTCATCCCCCAAAACAAGGAAATGTTGAAGATAAGTCTATTAATGAGTTAAGTAAAAACATTCCATAGACCATAAAGTTGGAAATGGTTCAAACACACAGGTATGAGGAAACTCCTCTTCAGTCATACAGTCTCAAACCTATATGATGACCTATATATATATATATATATATATATATATATATATATCTATCTCATCAAAACATAAACTGAAAGGCCCTTTAACACTGAGGAACTGAAAGTTCACGCATGCATGAAATAAACATTGATGGAAATTTGACTTTGAGAGTTACAGGACCCCCCAAAAAAATCTCTTACAGTGGTAAAGCTTGTATGCATCCTCACGTAACTTGGGCTCACCCTAAAAAAAAAATGTCTAAAAAAAAAAAAAAAAAAACACCCAATAGTAGTGCAGTGTGTTTGGTTGGCCTGGTAAAATATAACTTTATTTGTTCACAATGTGGAAAATTATCTTTGTCTTCACAAGAACAAAAAGACAATGACAAACAGGACAATGTTCAAGCACAGCAAATAAAACAGAAGAGTGCCTGTAGTCTTCGACAACATCACAGTCAACATGGTTTGTAAATAAAAAACATTTTGAAAAGGTCGTTTGCCAGCATTTGCTTATGTGTGACCATGCTCTGTGCTCTTCAGTTTGTTGTCACACATTGAAATGCTTTTCTGTTCCTTTTGCAGACAATGTTTGAGATAAATTCCAAAAACTACAGAACTTGTTAAAAAAACAAATATGACTCACAGAGGGTTTAGTGTATGTCAATATATGTTGAGGGGTGGTGGTGGGGGGGGTCTTGAAAATATTCTCCTCTGCCAAAGGGGGGCCGACAGAAAACATTTGGAAACCTCTGATCTAATGGATCACAAATACGTTTTTATGTTTCATTAATATAAAGCAAATAATTGAAGACAGTATAAGTATAGTAATTTTATGTATTGATTAATCTGTCAAGTGAGGAAAGTTGGAAATGTCCTGTTTGAACTCAATGACCAAAGACGTCATGTAAGCTCTTTACAGTTCTTTACTGTATGACATCATGCTAACATATGAAAGTGAAGGGGACTCATAATATTGTATGTATTTTGGGTACAAATCCAATCTCTGTTGTACAGAAAGAGTCATATTTAGCTTGGCCAATCAGAGAGCATATACATCCCATTACCTATAGGCCTTATTGCCTCAAACTGCAGCAGTCCGTATGTCTTGAGATCATCGTCTCATTTCTGGTCCACCATTAGCCTGAGCTCTTATTGAGGATCAGCCTGTGATTTGTTGATTGTCTTGGCTATTAGAGATGGCATCAGAGGATTGAGAGTTTTCTAGCAGGGGGAAGTAGATGGAAATAATGAGGGGAAGGAGTGTCTGCCAGCGTCTGCTGTTTTAACCTGCACACACATAGAGAGATCTGTGCGTAATATTGTTGTTACTGGCAGGGCCTATTTTGGGCAAGTCAGCACTACCCTGTGATGCCCAGGAACGACATGCGTGTAATTTCCTGCCAGGGGCGCTCATTTGGTTATAACTACTACTCACTGGCAGCCCGTTCATGTTCTGCCTCTGATTTCCAAAAAATGAAACATGTTTATTTTTCTTTTGTCGACAGCAGCGATCTTTCCAAGCAAATCAAGATTGCAGTTTGAGAAGGTTTGAGTTCTTAGAAAAATGTAGTTTGAAATGAATTGTCTGAAATGTCTGAACTGGACCTTTAATGAATATGCTGCAGAAGTGCTCCTGGCTTTGAAAAATAGCCTGTTTACTCTACCTGGTTATGCCCCATAGGATGGATTTCCATACTGTATACATTAAGCTTGCACAAACAAAACAGACTAATTACACTGTAGCTTGAATTACATGATATTTACCCGGTGATAACAGGAAGGTCACATGTAGTTAAATGTTATTAATGAGTGTACTGACTAAAATGAATGTTGTTTGAATGTTCAGTATCTAAAGTGAGTCAGCCCTAGTTTTCTCTCTAAAATGTGATTTGTAGAATTAATTCACATAATGGCGACCACTGCCTGCTTAACTTACGTTCAACATATGTTTAATGTAAAGTCTGAGTTATGTCTCAGTGAGATCAAATCCTAGTTTAAACTGCAAACAGGGACACAGTTCAATTAGAAGTTTTACTTTTAATTGTAAACCATACTTTAAGCTGTGAGGAGTTTTTAACTGTTTGTTAAATTAATACTGATGCTTCTATAAAAAAAAAACACACATTAGCATAAAGATTAACTATTTCTATGTAGTTAATTTTAATGCTTATACAGCCACCGCAGGGTAGATTCTTTAAAATACATTTCCAACAGCAAAGCTTCCTCGAGAGTGATGCATTTGATTAAAAGACATCGACACAAAACGATGGACCCTCATTATAGCTTTGAGGCTACACATTTCTATACAATCATTTCAAATTAAAATGTCAAATTTTAGGTGTTAATCAGCTATAGGACCTATCAGTAATGAAAAAAACCTCAAGGTCATTGTGTGTGACACTCAACTTATTCAACCCAGTTTATTTTGCTTTAGTCTCCCATTAGCAAGAAATTTAATAAGAAAAAATAGTTTACCATGTTAACACACATTTCTATTAAATGGAATAGTAACCAATAACAATTTCAAATAGAACATTTTCAATTTGTAGCTTTTTAACAGCTATGATCCAACATAGCAACTGAAACATTCAGGTGCAGAGATGAATAACTCCTGACACTTCACTTTTTGTCAGACTCAACATATTCAACCCAGTTTACTTGGCAATTTGTTTTGCTTTAGTCTCCAATTATGAAGAAAAGAAAAACAAAGGGGACTGACACAAAAAAAAGCCCTGGAGGTTTTTAAAGCCAAGAGGTTCACCCTCACAGGGCCCCACAGCTGAGCATCAGTATTCCCCTGCCATCAAATAGTTGGCTCCGTTGATAGCACAGCCGGTGGTTCAGGCCGCTCGCCAACAAAGGACTAATGGCTGAATAACTGGCCACCAGCAGCTGGGCCAATGGACAAAACTGCATCGGAGTATGTGTTTGCATTTTTTTAAATCATGATTTTGGACGACGTGAACTGCAAAGATAGTGTCACTTCTATCTGTGCTGTTATATCTGTATTACATGGTCAAAGTTAGAGAACAGCTCTGAGATGTCAGGATACACTCAGACTGTTTAGAAAGGGAGGACACATCATGCTATAGCCTCTTAACCTCAAGGCCTCTAGTTCAGCTTAGGGGTTCTGTGGTGGATAACAGCAGTGAGCTCATGTAAAAATAAGATATTAGAGGACATAGCATACAGCCTCATACAATCCATATCAAGTTTTTTTATGAATTCTTAGTCACACAAGCTCATGATTTCACATTGTTATTCTTTTAATTTGTTCTATTTGGCAGCCTACGCAAGCAGCACATCCACAGTTTAAAAAAAAAAAGAAAAAAAAAAAAAGGACCAAAATGCAATAAAGGCAAACACATTAGAGCTGTGAATTATCTCAAAGCAGACGGAAATGGAGGTCATAATACTTTTATCTGCCCAGACTAATTGAATGGACTTTATCAGCGGTGCCCGGGATTTGTGCTCACTGTGAAACTCCTCGAGGCGGAGAGAGGATGAGCAAGCGGTGGAGGAGGCACGTGTGATAACCTGGGATGGCCTCCTTCCCACACAGATAAAACACAACAGCCTCCTAACTGTGTGATTCCCAAGGTCAGCTCGGCCAGCACACAGCTTCTTCTTCTTCTTCTTCTTCTTCTTCTTTAAATGCCTGTTAAAGCAGATAACAACCTTAAACGGCTATTGTATGGATATTTGTCATTTTGTGACACATTTATGCACACGGGCTTAAAGCTGCTTAGACTTAATACAGCGCCAATGAGACATTAATGTCTGCACTGATCTTTATAAACAATGTTTTTTTTAAAAGTTGTGACTGATACTAATATGGATATAAAAAATGAAAACTATCATTTCACATTATGATTCATATGTCTTAAAAGTGAACATATAGACATTTTGACCCATTGTCAGATTAAAGCTTATATCTATTCCATGAGAGGGGAATGATGAATAATCTACAAACTGTATGAAAAATGAAATTATGACTTTATGGCTGTGTCAGCCATTGTATTTTGAAGAAGGGTTACTAGCCAAAATGGTGATAGTTTTAATGTTTATCTCTTATGCACGTGATGTTGTAGTTAGGAAGTGTTCTGCTCAGTCCACCAGGGGGGCACTCTTGGTTCATTGTTGGAATATGTTTTGGAAAAATCGTGGGAAAACAAGGAAGAAAAAGGATGCTATGAGGGTCGATAGAGCACAATGATATGTTAGCAGAAATCTAACTGAAGAACCTTAAAACCATACTCAGCTGTGTTGAAACTTTACAGCCATCACCTTGTAAATACTGACTCAAACTTACTGTCAGTCAACCTAGAAACAGACAAAAGCTCTTTTTAGGTTGCGTTTCTGTAACCTAGCTCTGCCGTCTTTACGTCTTTGAAAATTCATACTTAATCTGTGACAGTGTAATATTGGTGTCCCAGTAAGTGAATATACATGACCTTACAGCGTTGCAGAACACGAAGAGGACTGCACAGTGGGAGCTCCGCATAGACACACACACACACACACACACACACACACACACACACACAGTCAGGCATTCAGAAACACTCAGTGCTGCGCTGCGCTCCCTGCTGGCTCCAACGATCCCTTCTCCCCTGTAAACACCTGTGTTACTACCTCCAAAGACGGTACAC